TCCACGGCAGGGCACTTATTGGATCATCCGCCATATCACCCCACTCGCCGGCACACATTTACAACACTGCTGCTACACTCCCCTCAAATGAATGATGATGAATTATAGTTCGATCCCATCTGATACACCTTCACAAAATTACTGGCATTGTTTTGTTATTGTTATTGTAGCGCAATGCATTTTATAGAGGGCGCACTTTAGTTCTTTACTGGTAGCCAGCGGGGTGCGCGTGCACTCACCCAGGTTTATGGGGGCACCAGCCGATAGCGCCAGTGTATATAAGCGGCCGCGCGCTCAGCTTCGCCCTCTTTCTGCTGTGGCCGTAACCCGAGCGCGGTCTTGTGAAGGGTTCTTGCACAGTTCTGATCTCCCAAAATTTTGTTTTTTATTTGGCAAAAAATGTTAATTTGTATTTCCATTGCTCTTCCTAATTTCAATGACTTCTCTAAATTAACATCAATCAGAGCAAAAGATTGTAACTGAATATGCGTTGTTTTAGTTTCATTTGCTATAAAAATTTGTATCACTTTACTATCATGCATAACATAACAATGCATTTTATAGATGCTTTATTTTGCCTTAGAAGATGTATGCATTCAAACCAAGCTAACTCAAATTGTCGATTTCAACATTCATCTTGTTTTGCATTGTTGTACTGAAAAAGAAAATGCTGACGTGAGAATGAATTCGTGTCAAAAATTCGTGACGGTCGGGACAAAATCTTTTTCCCATGTAATATTTTGACAATATAGGGCGCTACAAAATTTCAGCTGCCCTTCAAATAAAGATGCATTGCTTTGCCGTGGAATGTATCACAGAGTTAATAGTTTTGCTGCCTTTCAACCAAAGATACATTGTTTTGCCGTAGAGTTTCTTAAAAAGTGCTCTTGTCAAAACAAGATGAATTGTTTTGCCTTGGTATGTGTAAACCACATATGATAATTAAGTGCAGTGTAGTCAGGTTTATGGACGCACGGAAACCTCAAGATTTTCGAGAAGATCCCTGATGTGGTTGTTTACGATTACGTCACACGCTGAACGCGTGAATAACCGGCAGTCATTGGTGGAAAGTTCTTTCGCGTACATGTAAATAGCTCGCAATAGTTTGGCGTCGCGTCATTCTCGATTTAACCTCTGACCGGAGAAAAGGCAAATGTTTTGCCAATGAAACTATAACGCACGGCATAAGAGTGCAACTTATAAAAATGGTAATAAGTATAAGAAACCGAGCTTTTAACATTCTAAAGATTTCAGAATTTAAAGAAAATAATAACTGGCACAAATCTGTGTAACAAGAAACACAACGGTATTTAAAGCATAAAAATGGCAAAAGATGAAGCTTCAAAGTCTTTTTTTTCTTTCAAAATGATTATTTTCGAGTTGCATTGTTTTGCCTTGGAAGGGCCGTCCCCGACTCATGTTCATCACACCCCGCTTTCATGGCAATTCTATAAATTTACCCTCCTACAGAAAAAAACCCATAAAACCACGCGCGTGAATGGGACCGTGACCTTTCTGCTTTGTTTGTAAACTAGTGCAGTGCCCGTCTAAATTGTGCATGTTCATAAAGCGCAAATTGCTTTGCCGCTGGTATTGGTTGCATGTTTTCAGACTTTTTTTTTTAAACCGCTCGTGCAAACAACGCACGTGATTCAATGGTGTTGTATTCACAGACGGAACGTACACTCACGTCATTGTGTGTGCAGTACGGTGGCCCTGGAACGACATTTTAATATTGACCTTTTTAATGTGAACCTTTTAACCTCTTAATATTGACGTTGTACCTTCGCAATATGCACGTTGCACGTGGCTTAATATCGCATTTTGGAATTTGTTCCTTCTTAATGTGAATGTTCCAACTTGTTAATATTCACGTTCGATCTTGTCAATGTACACCATTGATCATGCTTGATGTCAACGTTGCACCTTGCTTCTTCGCAATATGAACCATGTACCTTCGCATTGTGAACGTTTGACCTTGCATCTTGTTAATATCATTGTTGAACCGTCCTCCTTCGCAATGTGAATCATGCATTCTAAAAAGTACGAGGTCCTTGCCAAGTCCTATAGTTAGACAACCAGTTATGATGGAGTTTCAACCTGACGGCTGTTTAATGTCAATTAACCTGGGCTTCTACCTTGTAGTGATTTTTATCATGACTCAAGGCTCTCTCTTTTATTTCACTCATCTTTTATAATTCATGTTCAGGCTAACCATAACCCAAGGTTGGGCATACATGTCAAAACATGCATCCTGAAGCAAGTTTGTCATTGTTTCAAATAACCCGATCTAATCATTTCAACCGTTTACTATACACAAATTTATACCGGTTTGCTCTCTGAATGTAATGATTTCTTTCTTCCTGTACTTTCATCTTTGTCATATCCCAATAATATTTGACTCGCCAACAGGGCTCCTTACCAAAAAGTATGAGGATCCCCGCTGTTTTGACGAGCATTTGGTTTTCGGGCTATGCTAAGTCGAACCCTACATACCCCCCCCCCCCGCTCCCCGGATATCCGTGCCTGACCGCCACATGAAGAATATTCACAATTGGCTGACGACCAGTCATGTATGCATGAACTCCAAGCAAACAACTTCGTATAGGGTGCCCCGGCAACACGCGATTCGCGCTAAACGCAACGGTGCGGTCGTGATGCGGCGCTCTTTCGCGGTGGCGGGTTATCGCTGCAGCGGGTAATCGCGCATTCAACCATAAAAACGTCTTGCCCATAGACAAGCTCGAGTATGTTGCGGGTGTATGCACTAAATAAACAATATCAATGTATATACATATCAATGTATGCCCTTACTTTTGTTGTCATGCTTTATAAGACGTCGATATTATTTCGTAACGTTACCACCGCATATAAATGATGTTCCTTTCAATTACATCTTTAGATCATACTCTTATACTAATGAAATACGCGGATTTTGACGGAAATCTCTCGTAACTATGATGAAAAACACAAACAAAATCTGAATAGGGCTTAAAGGATGTAAAGTATTATGATAAAAGCCAGCTTAACGTGATCACAGAACACTGTTTTGCATTATTGTAATTGACGGGGAGTATACCGTCAAGAAATTAATTAGTCTCATGAATTTGAACAAATTTTTTTTTTGTGAAACGGCGCTCATTAGCCTGAACATGAATCGGATATGTGAAATAAATCGGAGAGACTTAATTCAAGATAAAAATCACTACAAGGTAGACCCAGGTTAAGTGACATTTAAACAGCTGTCAGATTGAAACTCCATCATAACTGGTTGTTTAACTATAGGGCTTAACCAGGACTTCGTACTTTTTAGAATGCATGATTCACATTGATATTAACAAGATGCAAGGTCAAACGTTCACAATGCGAAGGTACATGGTTCATATTGCGAAGAAGCAAGGTGCAACGTTGACATCAAGCATGATCAATGGTGTACATTGACAAGATCGAATGTGAATATTAACAAGTTGGAACATTCACATTAAAAAGGAACAACTTCCACAATGCGATATTAAGCTACGTGCAACGTGCATGTTGCGAAGGTACAACGTCAATATTAAGCAGTTACAAGGTTCATATTAAAAAAGGTCAATATTAAAATGTCTTTCTAGGGCCACCGTAGTGCCAAGTTTGAGTTGTTCGGGCGAGTACATAGTTCTCGAAAATTCTTGAATTCACCCATCTGCTGTGTGTGCGCTGTATTGGATTGTATGCTACAGTCCACATACAAAGTACTGTACAGTACAATAGTACTGCCATTGTACACTGTGAACCGTAAATGCTGGGAATTCCCAGGATTGAGCAACAATTAAACATTTACCTTTCTGGACGATTTGTTTGGGAAATGTTCAACAAGTGATTCAAATCAGGTGAGATCCAATTTCAAAATGTATTGATCACTGAGCTCAAGGAGGTGGTCGACTGCGTTCTGAATGTAATGACTCCACTCCATATTAATTGTGCACACATGTATGTAGGTTGATAATACTTCCACTGATCGCCATGTTTTTACATGGATCCTACTAAGCCGTGTAAAAATTGGTACTACTCTGGCTCGTGCACACTCAAATTCATGTTGTGTTATAGTCCCTCTAACTGGGGCGCTAGAACTCCTTTTTTGACATTTGGGATGTTTACAGACCAACGACAGACAAATTAACATCCCAAATGTCAAAAAGGAGTTCTAGCGCCCAAGTCAGTGGGACTAGTTGTGTTAGATTTCATGGGTATTGTAGACATATTAACCAAAACATTGTATACTTAGCTGAACCGTAAACGAGGACGGTATCATCTGTATTTTAATTGTCCACGCATGATAAATAGTTGTGATTTTTATCAAGTAGGCATTATCCACATGGGCGTCGCCAGGATTTTTTTCTCAAAGGGGGTAAAGTACATTTCCCTCCAAAAGCCCTGTACTTTTCTAGCATATTCTCGATTTATCATTTTTCGAGGTAGGTAGTGACATTTACTCCCTCTCCCAACACATTAAATATTAGGAACTCATTAAATTAATACCAAAGGAGGGCAAGTAACCCCCCCCCTCCCGCGACGCCCATGCATATCCATTTTACGGACATGAAGCATATGACTATGGCGATGGAACTGGAACGAGACAAACAACGTTCAGACTTTGATCATTTGATAGATTAGCAGAACGTAAAGTTGGATGACAATAAATTATGCAAACAAATACAACAATGCCATTCATAAGTGAATCATAATGTTTGAACTTATGAAATTGAGACATATTCTGATTATTTATTGGAGATGTACTGTCGGCACTATTTATTAATTCTAGCAAATCAACTACATGCTATTATTCCAATAGCATTAAACGAAAACCGTCTGAGAATTTCCATTTGATATAAATAAATGAAATCATAATAAAACGACCTGTTTACCTACATCAAAAGTCCATGGTGTATAGTTTAGTATAGCTGAAGATAGAATTAAGTCATTTTTTCCCCCAGAATGCTGCCGGACATCGTGATAATACCCAGTTAAAGCATTATGGACCACATCGGTGTTTGGGTTTTGGTCTTTCTCAGATTTTGCGCTGCGCAGTACAACATATGTCCCAGTGGATCGGGTGAGTGGCTTTATTATCTGTAGTTCTAATCACAATTTAAACGTACACATGAACCCATTCCAGTTTGTTTGAGCTGAATGAACTATCAGGTGCGGATCCAGGAAAAAAAGGTACATGTACATGTATTCCCCTTTTAACAATTATTTTATCAGTAAAAATGTGCCGCATTATGTCCGCCTGTCCGCACCAATCGAACATAACACAGTCTGACGGGCCTGACCTCACCTGCAACAATTCCTGGATCCGCCCCTTCCCGGGCACGCGCGTATGAGCTCTAGTTTTTGGACCCCCATTGTATGTTTCCGACGGAGAAAGAGGTATGATAACAGGGTTACCACTTGAAAGTCTGAACACTCTAAAAACAAATGAAGTTTTGAATTCAACACTTTAACCCTCCGACGCAGAAAGCCCATTTAGTAACACACTTGCTGTAAGGGGTCCCCCGGGGACCCAAATATTTAGCGCCACGGTTTGAGGCTACACAACACTGTATCCACATGAACACAATCTTGCTATGTCTGTAGACTAAGGAGGTGTATTTGTATACATAGTCTGTGGTCAAGCCGTGCACTGTCTACTCGCAAGTGACCTTGTTTGTGCACATGTATATGGTGGGTCCCCGGGTGGGCAGAAATTGCGTCGGAGTTGTTTTGTGCGCATGTATATGGTGATCCCCGGATGGGCAAAAATTGCGTCGGTCCTTAGCCCAGATTGTCATGCTCAGATATGCCTGACCCGGGGTCACACACTAAAGGTGACTGCATAAATCCGTAGAGGGTGTCTCTTGCTAGGATTAGATGGAAGATCACCAGAATTGGTTTGAATTTTTTCTTTAATTAAGGTAATTAACCAAATTGGGTCCCCAAAAGGGCTAGATTCTGCGCCGGAGGGTTTTTAAGAGGTCGGTCAGTGACCACACTTTGTTAAATCCAGCATTTTAAATGTTAAAACCAACAGTTACAATGTTAATTCAACATTAAAAATGTTGTAAAGTGATGATTCAACATTGTTCAACTTTAACACTTCAGCAAGGTGAGTCCACAGCCACAAGATTTAAGTTTCACTGTTGTTTCTTTTAGCAATCTTTCTATAAGAAACACAAGGATTCGGTAAATGTTTTTTTTTTCAAAATTGATCACTGAGTTTATCGTTTTGCATTTTTTTTGAGGCAGTACCATGCTCACGCTCATATTTGTACGCGCAGATGGAATCCATCTTGATCCAATAGGCTGTTAAAATGCACATGCATCTCAATTTTAAGAGCACTCGTGACACACAAAGATGTCCTTTTACACTTCTGAGACAGTTTATATTTAAGAGAATCTATAACACTCTTATAAAAGTTGTGTCATTATTTTGTCTGTTTTGGGGGTTCTCTTTTGTCTTTATGTATTATCATTTTTAATGGGAGACTTGCGATGAAGACAGCTTGATATTTTCTGATGTAATGCTGCCTCACCCAATATTATGTACCTAACATATTGTAGATAAAACTCTAGGCAATTTGCTTTAGTATCTCCTGAACCCGGGGTCAATAAATGTTTCCTTAGCGAATTTGTAAATGACGATAATCCAAAAACAACCAAGTCTTGGACAGCTGTCGGTAATGCCTCCCATAATCTAGGGAATCTATGAAAAAGATAATGGTGAGCAGTATGCATTACACATGGTTCTTTGATGGTGAAACTTCACAACATCATTGTGTCCAACATTAACAGCAATGTAATTATTTAAAGGAATGTCAAATTGTTTTACAATAATTAAACAACAAACGCAGTTGAAAGAAAATGGAGTCTGTTTTTTAAAAGGGGGTAAACCTAGATGAACGCACCTATCAGCATACTGAATTTTATTGTCAGGGTAAATGAGCAACCTTTTCGGAAAACTAAACAAAAATCTGGTAAAACGTCTCTTTACCCTCTTAGGCCAAAAAAAAGTCTCCGGTTTCTGGTATGCGCGCGCGTCGCCGTAGCCATGCGTGTCGGCAAGATGAAAAAGTTTGTTTTTCATTGAAAGATGATGTCTCAAAACCACCAAACTCACTGGTTTGACTGGAATCCTGCTGCTTCACAATTTTAACGTGTTTTTAGATGGGGTTATGATCGAGAATGAGCTTTATGTGGCCTCTCTGGACTCCCATATATTTGCACTAAGTTTAGTCAGGCACCATTTGCAGTCATCAGCCGACATTTGGAGCAAAAAAGCAGCGTCGCCGCACCACTTTTTGGACAAGCTCCATACCAGAAACCGGAGACTTTATTTTTGGCCTTAGTTATGTACTTGAATTACCTGATATTTTCTTCAGCAAGGAGAGTCCAGAACGTGTTCGGTCGGTCAAGGAACGTGCAACGTGGAGTCTGGCACCTTCTGCCATGCCCAGAACTCCGTCGCAATGAAGAACTTGATGGGGTGATTTGGTACAAAGGGGAGAACATGGAGGATCCATCCACAATACGTCTCGTCAGCCTCTTTTCTGGTGAAGTCATCCCAGGCAGAGAGCGATTCGACATAAGGTCCGACTTCAGCCTCGTTATACAAGGTGTTGATGACATGGATGGAGGTAGATACCTGTGCGAGGTCGTGACTGCTTCAACGGAGGACAGAATTGGAGAAGTTGACATTAGGGTCATTGGTAAGTAAAATCAGCTTTACAGGTAGACGTTATTGATGTAAGATTGGAATCAGCAAAGTCTGCAGCAAAATTGAGAAGTCTTAAGTTGACACAGAGATATGCTTTGAACACCCCAACCCCCATTATGGTTCTTTTGGGGTTTTAAGAAGAGTGAGTCGAGGAGTTGACAACGATCACTCGCACATCATATTATGGGTTTCCCATTCACTTTGCAAACATTCCAATACATTAAGTTAATCTCTGATGTGATCGAGGTATTCATTCTAATCTTGATTTATACCTCTGTAAGCCTGTGGTTTTTTTTTTAAGAATGGCTGTTCTGTAAATCATTAAGAAATTCTTGAAAATTGAAAGAGTCAAATAGAAACAAATTATGTGCACATAAAAAACCCATGAGGGTGCCCTGTGCTGCAGAAATGAACATGAGTACAGTTGGCATTATAGATTTTAAACATTTAATTGTAGGCTCTATGGATCAACTGATCATGTGTATCAACTGATCATGTGTATTTATATTTTAATATATTTCAGGAAACTTTTTTCCAGCCAGCACAAGTGAGGCATCATCCACATCGAGTTTTCAGCGTGGACGCAGAAAGACGCTACCGTGTGAGTGCGCGTCACAGGCACCAGACGTAGTTTATTGGTCAACGGGAGAGGACGTCACTACAGATACACACATAATTGGTGCACGTTTCTCTGATGGTGCTACCCTGCAGATCCAACATGGCGCCAGTTGCAGCATTGGTAGCGACGCTTCACTTACAGTCAACTCCCTGAATGACGTACAAGATACACAGAGATTCTGGTGTCACGTGTTCCAGTCAGATGGTACCGTCAGAAATTGCGACACCAATGTCCAGATACTAGGTAATGCCAAAAGTATGTAAGTCGACAGAAAAGTCTAGTGTTACTTAAGAAATTTCCACATCTACACACAAATCAATACAAAGTAATAAAAAACAGAGCAATTCTCTGAATTGATGTTCCTGACCTTTGGTACTATTATAAATTCTTCCTTTGTCCATTCACAAAAGTGTTTTAACAATTTCCTCTTAATGACTTTGAAGTAGATGAAGTGGAATCAGCTAGTGATGCACTGAAGGCATCAGAAAGATCTTTCTACCTGCGAAATGACACGCAGCAGATACTCCCTTGCCTGAGCTGGACACCTGGCACCACAGCTTGTGAGGTGGAGTGGCGTAAGCTCGACAACCCAGATCGACAAGTCCTTAGTTACAACCTGTCGACTGGTGTCGTAGATTCTAGTCCTGAATTCGACCTCGCCAGTGACTTTGGTTTGATGATTCAGTCGGTTGATGATGACCATGCTGGAGTGTATCGATGTGCTGTGGGAGATGAAAATCTGATGGATGTAGAGATCCGAGTGATAGGTATGTGTACATATTGCATGATGTAAATTCAATGATGTAAAGGTTTTTTTCTCTTCAATTTGACGGTAACTGATTTGTGAGCATGATTTTTAACATGTTTTTTTTTTGCTGTTTCATTGCAGGGGATCGCTTTCCATTAGACGACGGCATCGCTGTGGAAGGTGACAACGTGACCTTTAAACCTATTAGTAGATTTTCTCTTCAATGTCCGGCTTTCTCAGACATCCCCTTGACAGCCAAAGCAACTTTGTTCTGGTCCTTTGGCGACCCTGATCCAGAGCCATATACCACTGTGATTGGCACGCTGAATCTACCAGATGGTCCCAAAAAGATATATTATCAGGTAGAGGACTGCCTCGGCATAACAATGGAGGGCGCTCTGCTCCTTAATAACTGTTTCCAAGATGGTGACGTCAGATACTGGTGTCATGTCTTCCCAGCAACTGACGATCTGATCAGGTCATATGTTGATGTGTTTACAGAGAGTAAGTTCATGTCATCAATGTTCCCATAATTGTTCTCATGATAAACGCTTGAGATTATTGTCTGTGACCTTAATGCGTCATTCACATAATGATTCCGTCATATCTTGGAGCCATGTCTTCCTGATGTTAGCCTTGTCATATTCAAAAATATATGTGTTTTTTTATTTTTGAAAGGAAAAGGACGGCTGCATTTTAGATATATAGGAGCTCGATGAAAAACATCAGCTCAAAAAATGTTGACGGGGGAAAAAAACTATGATGAGCCATGTTAAAATCCAATGAGCATCGACAAATACATTCCCTATCCGCGATGCAGAGTCATCGTCCTGTAGGCTTTTGCATATTACTGAAAAACATTCTTGAGTAAAACCGTCGGTGGAATTAACATACATACAGGCCATTGTTTAATAGATACCAAATCATGTAATCTTCTATTACTAAAGTCAATATGTTAATTGTATTACTATCACAAGATGTGATTTATAGGTTTATATCATGTTGCAATTGTTTATTCATAATTGGGTTTATTCAAGTCAAGGAGTAATAGAGCAAGACCTGTTCCTTATTCTACCCCCCCCCCGCACCGAGAGTTTGTTAAGCTGTTCAAAGCAAAGATGCAGAGAGTAGTGTTATCTAATTTAAGTAAATTAAATCAATGCTTGAGTGATTTTGGGTTTCAAGGCATACCTAGGTATGTGTGCTGATAGGCACTACCATCTCAGCCTGTGTTGTGTATTCATGGGTAGTCAACCTGTGTGGTGCTGTACATATACTGCGTGTATTGTACATAGGGCGCGGCCCTCAAGCCAAGCCAGAGCCAGTTCTCAAAATTGTAAGTTTATCTTATTGGGTGATATTTACTTACATTTTGATTGTCTTATTTTGTATAAGTGAATTGTAAGTGATTTCTTTGAGTTTGTTTAAGGAAGTTTGACCAAAGAAATTACTCTATGATGTACATGTATTGGAGGGAAATAGTGTAATTCGATTCAACTTTCACTGAACGGGCTTCAGTGAAAGTGGAAAACTGTTTGAATTTTTTTTCTTTAAAGGGCTTTCCCCGTGGAAATAGAAAATTCTTAGGTTCTAAGGGAACCAGATAGTTCTGTGTGAACAAGACTTGGTCAATCCTAAGACTCACGGTCTACCAGGAAAATCCGGAGGAGTATTCGGAAGGCACAACCGTTTCCCGTGTGGACCGTCAAGCTTCAAGCCATATTCCAAGGCCCAAAAAAGTCATCCATGTTCCCCAAGACCGGAGTTTATTGACCTCATTGGGAGCGTCAATACGCTGGAGGGGTTGTGTGTGACTGGCACTTCAACTTGGCCACCCGTGTCACAACTGTGAACTGTTGACTCAGCAAGTCCTTTCAAAGGGTTTGAACATTGAACATTTAGGGTGTGAATTGCAATTGTTTTGGGGTATTGGAAACGGCCGTATGATACTTAATACAGGATCCTGATAATGCAGTGATATAGTTGAGTATCCGTCACCCAAAGTATAAGTAATCGATAGAGTGGCATAATTCAATTGAAGTAATTTGTAAATTTCTTTTTGTTTAATATATTTAGTTGTCGTAAATAGTATTTTGTTTTGATCATACACATTTTGCCGTCCGGGGTTTGATTTTCTGTCCTGCTGATTTGTCAAATATATCCACTGCTGTCTTCCATGGGGAAAGCAGACCCACTGTGTGACCATTACTGTCATTTTATTCTTTGTGTGCATTAGATTCAAACGGTAACCCTGAACAGTTTAATGTCACCGCCATCGCTGTGTGCGTGCCTTTATTCGTCATCGTTCTTCTTGGGATTGTTGTTTTCCTGATGTGGAAGCGGCGTCGACGATCTTTGCATCACAGAGAAGACAATGAGAAAGGTGACCACATAACGGTGCATGAACTCGGTAGGAACAATTTCGAAGGTTTGTAAGGGAAGTCTCCAGGGGAGCAAGTAGTTACAGAATTTTGAAATGTTGCAACTTGAGGGTCACATTGAAATTCCTTTTAAAATATTCATATGGGCATTGTCCTTTCTGTTTTGAAAATAGCTCATCAGGATAACAGTTTAATCTGTATCACATTAAAAGACGATGTTAATACATTTTACCTTCCAATGTCTAAAACAGAAACCTTTATGACCTAAATCACCTAATACGCGAACATTGTGTTGTATTACAACTCTGTACGATGCATTTATGAGTTCATGTTCTCTGCAGGGCAATTGTGTTCAAATATACCCTGATGATATTCCCTCTCGATTTTTTTTACAGACCCCGTCATGGAGCTGGGTTTAATGACACTTGCCAAGAAGGTTAAATCCTTTGTGATCAGCAAACTTAGCAGAATTCCTATTACCCCATGGATTGACCTGGATGATGCAAGCTTCGCACCCATAGACACAGTCTACAAACCCCTAGAGATGTTCGCTAATGTCTCATATGTAGGAATCACGGTAAAGTATCAATTAGACTCAGAATCTGATATCTTTGATGATGGTATTCCAGAATTGGCCAGTAAGCATGCTATAATACAAGGTAGACGGGGTTGTGGTAAGACTACTTTTTTGTACAGACTGATATACGACTGGGCCATGGGAAGGCAACGTGCACTGTGGGGTAGTGATCAGATAGTTGTTCTTGTCCCAGCTTGGTTGCTTATTAAAGCTAAAACCATCGGTGAAGCAGTCGTAGAATGCATGCTTCCAAAAGATGCAAACATTTCGGCCAAATCCATTAATGCACACTACGCACGAGACAAAAGCAACCTGACAATTTTGGTAGATGACTGTAATGACAAGGACGACATTGACACAATCATGAAAATAGTGGCCGACAATGAATTCCCTTGCTGTCAATTAGTTTTGACGACTAGAAACTCAGAGCTGGCAACAGCTACCTCACGAAAATATGACATGCGCCACATCACTATTACCGGCTTTGCGCTCAGAAATGCTATCGAATACGTCACCGTGGTTTTGGATACTGCTGTCAAGAGTGACGCTGAACCAGAAACAGGTTTGACGGCAGACATACACAAAAAAAGAAAGAAACGTAACCTTCATCGATATCTGAAAAAGGAGAGTCTAGAACCGAAGGTATCATGTCTCCCAGCTGTTTTGGTAGCTCTCTGTCAGATCTCAATATTGACAAAAGGAGAAGCCTTCAAACCCGACGATACCATGGCAAAGATGTTCCTCACATTGGTCGAAAATATGGTAAACAAGAACAAAACTCTAGATGAAGGTGTCTCTGAGGGAAACCAACCCAGTCTTCCCACGAAAGACCAAGTGAACTTTTTGGAAGAGCTTGGTAGAGTGGTTTATTCAAAACTGCTTATCAAATGCCCGAACGATGCAGACTTTTCGAAAGAGGACTTCTTGAATATGTCAGAAAATGGAGAGCATGTCTTGGATGTTGCAATGGCCCTTGGATTTCTTCGTCCGTTTCAGGTTGAGTCCAAGGTTGAGTCCAAGAAAAAAAGCATTGAGAGAGTTCGTTCTGAGGTATCAGAAGTAAGGAGTACGAGAGGGTTTCTTTGTTGCACAAGAAAGGGAAACAAGCAAACCGAACAAGATCATATGAGCCAGGATACAGAGCTCACTCCCCTGACAAGCCCTAAAGTAGAAAGAGTATATTTTGTCTTGGAGATTCTTGAGGAGCTTTGCGTTGCTCAGTTTGTCGCTCGGTGGACCAAAAGAAAGGTTGGACAATTGGTCGATGACATCCCAGAGATTGACCACACGAAGATTGCAAATATATTCCAGTTTGCCATCCAAGATAATCAGTTTGACAGAGAAGCTCTTGTTGATTGTTGTGCAAAGATCATTAACAGGGGATACAGTCAGGTTAGTCCCCTCCATGTTGTGCTGCAATTGCAGAAGTTCGTAGAGTTGTGTCTCCAGCTGAATTTCGAGGGGCAGTGTGAGGGCGCCTTGAACAAGAAGCTGAAATCGATCTTTCCTGACTGGAGGGTCCGCTTAATTGGGATATCGAGTTACAAACTGCATCTGATGTCATACCTACTCAAATATGCTCAGCCTGAAGATAAGAGCAAGCTGAATGTGAAGTCGGTTGAATTATTACGAATTGGTCGATATGACTGGCTAGAACTTCAAGAATACATTGAATACTTTGCTCCCGGTCAAAAAGGATATGAGAAGCAGATAACAGTGGAAACAAACCCAGAAGACAACCACACAGATACAAGTGGAATCCACCAGGGAAGAGGCCCAGCACAAGAGCCTCAATCAGGTGAGGAAAACAAATGTGATGATTTATCGCTTCCAACACAATCACAATCCGAAGCAAGTGCCCCCGGTGGTGAGGATGCTAATGAAGCTGAATCTACCGAATGGTCAGTTAATGGGGATGTTGAATCGTGTCGTATGAATGACATTAAGAATGGGGAACATGTACTCAAAAAGCTGCGTGAGAGGATAACATTCAGCAACCAAGACATGCCACAGTTTCCTCCTGACGAGTCAGACATCAGTGTCCTACACAATGTGCGGTATTTCGGTCTACAGGAGTTCTTAGAGTCACAGGTAGGGGAGTGCTACTCATCGGGTGCAGCAAGAGACTTGGCTCGCTACCTTCCTCGTCTGGAAATGCTGGAGAGTCTGGTTCTGGTTGGGACGATTCTGAGTTCAAAAGCTATTTGCGACTTGGCGAACAGTGCTGACCAACTCCCAAACTTCAAGAAGCTGGATCTTCGTCTGAATAAGCAGTTCGATGACAGAGCCTTTGTGGCGGTAACAAATTTACTGCTACGTGAGTGCAGAAAGTTGACGGATCTCAGACTGTCTCTGTACAAAGTAACTGATGAAGGGTTTGATCGTGTTCAGAGGGAAATGAAGAAGGACGGCGAATACTCGTGGGGAAGATTGAAGACACTGTATCTGCTGCATGGAGCACCTGCTGAGACGTTTGTAAAATTCCTCAGCAACAGCTTGAAATACTTCCATTTTGTGAAATCTTTTCATCTTTCGGCCCGTGTTAAAGAACAAAGAATACAGGACAACACTCATGAGGAGTTCGAACAAAATATAAAAAACCCGAAAATCATGCCAAATCTGGAAGACCTCGACATCAGCAACATGGAAAGACTGAAGGCAAGAATGGCGTCCTTGAAACTCCCTAAGCAGAAGAAAAAGGGACCAGGATTCTCGAAAATAATTGGAACAACCGTCGCTGGCCTGTGAATTCTTTGATGGAGAGTTAAACAGTTTACTTGATTGAAATTTTACTTGATTCTTGCAATTTCCTTTCAAGTTAATTGTTTTTGTATAAACACATACAGAAAGATATTGGGAAAACACATAAACAAAAAGAAAGAAAGGAAGACATAGCAGTGAAACACATAAAGAAAGTAGCATGCAAGAAAGTAGCATGCTGTAGGTCATACATCTGCATACGTTTCATTGAGGATTTGTTGGTGAAATGACCTACGAACGACATTTAAGAACAGCGTACGCATCTTACATTTAAAAAAAGTAATAAAAATAGCCCATTGTCTCGGGGACTTTGGTGGTAACCAGATCTACGCATATGCATACACAAAATATCTAGCAGTTTTCCTTTTTACAATCAAGACCAGTTCCCTGCACAACAAGATACCAGTGCCATAAAAATACCGAGGTTTAAAACTCCATGCGCTGACATCCATATACATGCGCAATTGTGAGATTATAAGGACTGCCTATTTTGTCCAAAAATAAACACATGTAAACGAAGAAAAATCTCACAAATTCCAACAGCAACTCAAAAAATCCCCAAGTAAGTGTGCTAGTAATTCGTCGAAGACATAAATGATCGATAAAAGTGGAAGATCTAGATCTAGAAGTGGGGGGGGGGGAGGAGTTGAGTGAAGTCATCCGCCGGAAATTTTTGAAATCTACGATGCTTTCTCCTGTATGCTAAGGCGATTTCAGAATAAATTTAGGAACTGAAGAATTCCATTAAGTTTTTCGCCCCATTTTTATAGTTTCATTACATAAGTTAGCGACCGAACATGCAGGAGGGGGACCCCCGATCCGCCACTGGATAAGATACATGAAGAATATATCTTTAATTAATATAGTCGTAATCCTCAAGTTAAACGTGGCACCAATTTTAGATTTGTCCCCCAAGGAGATGAGTTATGAAACAAGGATATTTGCAATCTGAACTTATAATGCTAATTATAGTTCAATTTGAGCAATCTTATGAGCAGGATATAGGCGGGGGGGGGGGGGGGGGGGGGGAGTGACTACCTTTATGGAAGGACGATTGAGGTTACAATACGGAAGCAATAAAATGTAAAAAGGAAGGAAGGCAGGAAGCTGGGTGATGGTAAGATGTGTCAACAAAATTATAGTGTTCTGTTTAATTCCTCTAAACCAACCTATAATCAGTAGTGTTTGGCTTTAAGTGTGTTACTATATTGCTTGGTTATGTAATTCTCGTTTTGTATGTAAGCTTTAGAGTTATTGGCTATAATATACCTTAAAGTTGCTCTCCGGGGACATTTTGAAGTTTCACTCAAATATTTAGATGTCAATTGTTTTGGAATAATATCATTCTGAACAAATACATTGTGCAGTACATTTGTAACTAATATAACTTGCTTTTGTTTCGGAGGCACAGAAACACTAACAATAAACCTTTTCGCAGAGGTTGCCGATGTCCAATATATAGAAAAGTGTTTTCTTTAATATAAACACGCCTTTATACCAATAAATAAATAAAGAGAGTAAGCTCAATTTTGTTTTCTGTAAGTACGTTTTCATGTATGAAGGGATACTGAATTATGTCAAGTGTGGTCATCTCAATACTGATTTAGATTGTACTTATTTAACATCGTTAAAACACATTTCTTTCGATTAAGTTGATGTTGCTTACCCGCAGTAATTGTATTTCTACCGTCATTACGTTTTATTGACGTTTGTATTTTTTTTATGAACAATAAAGCAGGTTATAATGTAACATTCATATGAAGAAGCAAAACACTACAAAGGGAACTTTTTGGGGGAAATGAAAATGTCCTTCCTTAGAAGAGATTTAGGTGCTAAAATAGTAAAGCCTAATAGCAAAGGGAACTTTTGGGAGGAAATTAAAATGTCTTTCCTTAGAAAAGATTTAGGTGCTAAAATAGTAAAGCCTAATTAAAAACAAATGAACGTTTAAGTGCTTAAGTGCAAAATTTCAAAAGTAATCAAGTGTTATAGCAATCGAATACTTAAGTACTAAAGTTCCAATCAGCCAGGCTGCATTACAACCGTCGTTATTTGAACGTTTCTTCATGAAAGGTTTAACTACAATTCATGTGATTAAAATCTGAAATTTGCCATTAAAACTCATGCCAACATTTTACATTGCGCAGCGTTTAAGCATATATCCCGCACAAAGTGCCAAATATTCAGTTCTATAATCTAAGCCCAAGCAAAAAAAGAAGAACAAAATGAAGTCTAATTCATTCAAAGGAAAATACACGTAAACCAGTCGACAACGCAATTAAACTTAATGATGTGTTTATAATACACATGCATTGTCAGGAGCAAAAAGCTTGTACATTACATTTAATTTTGGCTTTGTGTGTATTGATTTGATATTGAATAAAAATGGGGATACAAGTCGGATTAAAACTTAATTTGTGTGGTTTTTTTGCTTGTTTTGCTAGTTGCTTTTGTACGCCCTTCTGTCCGTGTTTATTCTTTTCCTTGTTCACTTCACAACACACCGACGAAGATTTTCCGTTTTCCCTCAACCTACAATTTCCCGTCTTTGGGGCCTTTGAGGAAACACGGGTCCCTGTGATGTGCTCCGTGACCATCAAATCCTATAGCTCGATTGCATTCAGCGGCCATAATGAAGGTGTATGTGTGTTATTATGTTAATTCATTAACAGTCAATGCATAAGAGTTCATGTGTATTTGATGTTGTTAAATAAAAACACACTACTTAAAGGTTGCTGCAGTGCAAACGATCCATATGAACAATGGAAGCACTGTTTCAAATAACATTATATACATCTGGCTTGCACTAAGTTATCAACCCCAAAAAAGTTTGAAAACCCACACGACTCTTGGAAATTCCATACAGCTCTTTGAAAAACCATAGATCTAGGGGGAAATCCACAGCCCTAAACACCTGTAAGTGACCCACCCACTGTTTCTAATAATTGTTATCTCTGGGAAAGAACAAAGAAAACAGTTAATGCAAAAGGGGTGAGTGATCTTCTCAAGCCCATTGTCATGTCTGAGGGAAATCACTACAGTGGATTTTCAATTTGAAGAAACTACAGGTTTCGAGTCGAATTACTGCGATCTGTAAAGTTTTCATGAAAATGAAAACTGTTATGACCATGTTATGAACATTTTATGAAAATATTGAAATACATGTGGTTCGATATATTTATAAATGAACACTGAAAATATAGAAAAATGAACCAAACTGTGTTATAAAGTATATAATAAAGAAATGCTTAGAAGCGAATTTATATGCAATATGTTTTATTTCCGTAGTCATTTGTAAATAAAAAACCACAACAATACGCTGACTAAAGAAATATAGATTTTCAGTACATTTAACATCTTTCTTTACAAATCTATTGTTCTTGAAGATGAGATCAGTCATCATCAGTGCATATAGCCTACACGATATTTTGGGTTGATTGTCGGCACAATTTGGGGCAAGTAGGCTCAGTGGGGCCAACTTTAGCGGAGTACACCATATCAATAGAATAAACAGAACGTGGCGGTGCCGGTGTCATATGAAATACGTCTCCTATGAAATACAGACTCGCTTTTAGTATTACGCATGCCTAAGTAAAGTTTGTAAACGTTCAACCAATAAAGAGCGGCATTTCATGGGAGTCCATATTAAATATGGCACCGCACTACTATTTAAAACCAGTCGGTCGGTGTTTTATAATCCGTTTAAAAGCTCTCGATCAATAAGTGTGGGTAAAATGTCAGTTATTTATGAATAAAACATTAAGGGTGCACTCTCAAAGGAGACCTTACGGCGACCAAACATATTTAATAAATTTAACAATCGCAGCAAGGACGCAAGAAAGTGGCAATTTTCTGTATTAAGTCGCCGGAAATAGCTAAAGCTACACTTACACTCATAGTGCACTCATCCCGCGCTTACGATGCGCTCAGCTCGCTCTCTATGGGCCGCAGTCATGCCCAATCACTCAAAATAGTCCCTGCCGCAGCTGCGCCGTCACTGCGCCCACACTAAGCTCTGCTTGCTTTTGATACGTCCTAGTAGCTCGTGTCACGCTCTCTATCCGACCAATATACGCTCAAGTGACGTCACTTGCACTTGAATGAACGGAAACAATCAAATGTAAATAACAAAATGCTAAACCCATTAATGTTTTAAGGAAACAAGAGAGTAAGAAAGGTTTGATCTTTGCATATTAGGAAATGAATCAGGTTGATGGTGCATTGTGTAAAGACTATAATAGCCTGCTGCTTAAATTAACAAAAATTAAAATACTAGTTTTATTCTGCTGCAAGTGTATGTCAGTTGTATTGCCCTTGTAGATAAAATAGTTTAGACTCATATATTTAACACGATACGCTAAAGTTGCTTTTTGGTGATCTTAAACTCTACTTTACTTAGGCCTAAGCTCTGAAGTAGTGAAGCAGTAGTAACATACTAGCAAAGACCTTAATGCTAAAGTGTTAAGTAATTAATTACTAAGGTGTTAAACTACTTGAGTCTTAAAACACTAAAGTACTTAATGTACAATTTATCTAGCTACATTAAAACTGACGTTATTATGAATTTCTACTTGAACGGAAATCGTACGCTATTAGAGTCTGAGTATACTTTTTAAATCAATAGTAGGTTCCATCTTATGAATTGCTATTTAAATTAAAGTTATGCACAAATATAACTTTGGCGAATATCCAAAAATTCCAAATATTGAGCGCTAATGTAAGCCTAAGGAAAAAAAAGTCTAGTAAAAACGTGAAAAGTAAAATACACGTAAACACGTTTCACAACGCATGGATATTTACTAGATTACTTTGAGTATATTTGATGATATATGTGAAAACTTACACAATGGATATAAAGGGGATTTGTAGAGGCAATTGTAGTGTATAATAAAAAACAAACAAAAACAATGCTGGAAAAAGATGGGTGTCATCCTCTTAAATCCTTTTTCATGAAATCTCAGCATCAGAAAAGCGCGGTTCAATTAAAAAAAACAACTCATGTTTTCAAGGCCTGTGTTCGGTCCGTGAACGTTTCCTTTACTTCTTTTTCGAATCTAATTCGAAAACGAATGTAAAACGAACATAACAACTAATCTCGAATCGTTTTGGCTGCGGGCATAACGGCTTGACGCAGTTAAAGGAACACTGGCTGGTGTCGATTGCTCAGTTGTCATCAAACTCGGGCCGGATCGCACTCAAATTCTCGTAACGCACTCGGCCAAACGAAAAATAGGTCTGAAAAGTAAATGAAATTAACAATGTCCTTGTTATGTGTATGCACATACAAAGTGGTAAGGGTCTTTTATTCGACCTCTAAATATATATTATATAAACTCGGATGTTCAACATTTACACCAGTAAATCAAACATTGTGATATCAATTGCAATGTACATATGAATATTTTGGTTTATTTTCATCAATCTAAATAATCTAAAAGGAACACGTTGGTGCGAAATTGAGGTTATACTTACATGTTGAATTTTGCTGTCACCCATGTCACTTAGGGTAGAAACCAGTTCAGAGAAACTTGGTCTGTTGTTCGGATCCTCTTCCCAGCACTTACGCATTAGGGCGTAACTAAAGAGAGTAACAAATAAATCGTGTGAGTGAAGATCGGTCCGTGTTTTTTTCTTTAGATCCCTTGTTAGCGCATCATGTAGACACAAATCAAGTGAAAGGAGACACAAATCAAGTGAAAGGAGGTTTTTTTGGGCACATTATAAAATGGTTGGGCATAAACTAGTAACATGAGGATAAAATGTAACATGTAATCCTTGTGCATCACCTCAGCGCTAGGTTTCTACGATTTAAGAAGGGTAGACAATATTCCATTTACCACCGCAAAAAGGTAGATTATAATAACATTGTGTAGTCTTTGATGAATTACGTTAGTAATAATTTTGCCATAAACGAAACTGAAAAGTTGTCAAACAGGCAGAAGCAGGCCTACTGGAAGTGCCTTGTCCTCATAATGTGTTGAATTCGGCTACACCTTTCTGTCCACAAGCCTAAGAAACTATTTACGTAGACCGCAACCTACATCATATGCTTGTGGTCATCAAAAGGGCAAGTCGTAGGCAAAACGTATGGCCTATAGGACACATATAGCTTTGTCAAGACGCGCGAGTCAGCTTGAATTTTGACCAGCAGAAGTGCTGACACTCGATATTTATTAATTTGACATCTTACCTTTTGTCGTCACAGTTGCTGGGCTTGGGCATACGGTATCCTCCCTTCAGCTTCTTGGCTACTGACTCGCTCTTGGTGGTCGGGTAGGGGGTTCCCCCTTCACAATATAAGTTTAATACGATTTAGATATAGCGAACAAGGAGAAGGAGAACACTTATTAAGATCATGATCAAAGTCAAGTTGCCTTAAATCATTTGTTGACACCTGTCTCAATTTTGTTAGTCCTAAAAAGGGCAGACATTCCTTTAAAGCAGATATGTCTCACCTATTGTTGATATCTCCCACAAGAGAATTCCAAAAGACCACCTGATGATGAGAAATTAAATTAGGAATTAAAAAAAATGAAGTTAATGTTCTAGGTGTTGGCCTAGCTTGCATCATAAAAAAAATACCTCGATTCGATAAACAAGGTTCTTTGTACTTACACATCGCTCTTTGTCGTGTACCTCTTATACCTGATTGACTCAATAGCCAACCAGCGGACTGGAACTCGTCTCTATAATGAAAGGCAGAGGAATAAACATCGCTAACATTTCTAAGGTTTTTTATCAACTGGTTACGTGGACATGTTCTTGCACAATATGATCCATGACATGACACAAAATTAGTTATCACCGTAGTTGTTTTGGGATGAAGAGTGACAAAGGATAGTTGCCTCTGGGGCGATGTATTTGAGAAGCTTGCAACCTGTCTTTACACTAAAGATTGGGATTGGCTTGTTACTGACACTGTTTTAGTGAATTGTGATTCAGTAACAACTGATTTGTTAACTGATTGATAATAAGGGCTTTTGAAGAGTTGTAGGCACCCGCTGTGGGAGACAGTTCCTTAATAACATCAAATATATGCAGTGTACCAATCAGTGCTCAAATTACCCAGTTAAAAAACCTCATTAAAATGTGAGATAGTATCTGTTGTCTTCGTGTTCAGTTTAGTTCAAATATACTACCTTTGATGTTTGGACGTAGATATCTTCCCCTCTGGACAGTCCGAAGTCTGAAACCTTAGCAGTCAGCCCTTCAGATAGTAGGATGTTCCTGGCAGCCAAATCTCGGTGGATCACCTTTTAGAATTATGAACACAATATTAACAAATGGTTCTAAAACCATTGAGGAGGTGTGTTCGTTGATTCTTCTTGACGACATTTTCTAATAAGATTTGGTTCAGATTTAAACCGGGACTGTTTTTCTGGTCAAGACAACACCTCTCTGTATTCCATTCCTCAGGGCCATTTGTGACTCCAAACCTGATTTTTTGATGAAAACAATGTCATTTTGACATGAAAAGTTGTCATTTTTACCTAGAAGAGTGTCCGGTCAGGGCTGACCCAGACCCAGGGTCAAATCTTCTCTGGAACGTTAAAGTGTTTAACCTGCCATTTCGACTAAGAAAATAATACAGAGAAAACCATTTTGACCAGAAAAAATGCCATTCTTTACCCTGAAAAGTGTCAGGTCAAATGTGACCCACATTTGGGGTCAATCACCCTGCATGTGTCAATATGAAAACCGAGCCTTTCCTAATCAACATAAAAAAAGGCAAACATGCGACGGCTACTTACCCCCGCTTTAGCAAGGTGTTCCATTCCCTTGGCAACATCCAGGGCAAACTTGACCAGCTGATCGGAAGACAAGGCATCGTCGTCTGAGTCTGACTGTGAGCGAGCCGTCCGCAGGTAGCTGCGAAGATCACCGCGGGGAAGATACTCCAAGGCGACGTACAGCACCTCTGATTACGGAAAAAAAATGTTTCCCGGGGTCAAGGTCAATCTTAAACCATTAACAAACACAAGCTGCGGACCACCTCGTGTGAAGCTGCTGGGAACGACCATAGATCGATCAACGCTTCATGATGGTTTGACCAATCAGAGTGGTGATTGTTGTCGGACATGCGGGCACGTGCGCATGGCGCGCGTTTTGATGGTCAGAAACACACGTGTTGATGCCAACGTAAGCAGTGCGCGAGGCTTACTGGATATAGTAAGTCTCACTTACGATTCCATTTGTTGTCCCAGCAGATTCAGTTTTTTGTACAGAAAATATAAAATCACTCATTTTGATAAAAAGCACAAAACTCAGCTTTGTTCGATTTGATCAGAAAGTAGATTACCAAATTAAAATAAATATCCACTATCTCAATTTCAAATGTGTCTTTTTTCAGTCAGTTTGTGTCAAAAATATTTATATAACAAAACGAATCCATACGTCGATGCTGACATGCGCCAAGCAGAGAAACGACATTAGGGTGGTGGTCAAAAGAGGTCATCGTGAGGAGTTCATCGATGAAATCATCTCTCTCACTCGTCGATGCATGGCCTGTTTGAGAAACACAGTGTTTAACGTTTTAAAAGTATTTAGCTGTCAACTAAATGGCACAATTTTTCCGTGTATATGCGAACTGTGATTAGAACAGACCGACCCATTAGGCCCGGCCCACTGCGCACATGGACAACAAGACGTGCGCTTCACTCAATGCCATGTTCATAACGGAGATCAATGCCATGCCACTACTTTAAAGCCGCGCTCATCACACGCGCATATACCCATGTCGGACATTTATGTACGGTTGGATTGGATTAAAAGACCTTTGAGCGGGTCTTAATTGTTCGTGTATTGTCATTTGGCCTGTGTAATGAACCTCACATGATAAGTAGTTATGGGTTACCTTTGAGCATTTTGATAGCAGCCCTTGTCAGTTCTCCATCTTTCATCACAGCACCTGATCGTACCTCGCCAAAGTTCCCACTGCCGAGGACTCGCTCATCCATGATGAGGTCGCAGCGAGGCACCTTCCACCTCTCAGCCCAAGGGGGTAGATTGTTTTCTTCATCACCACTATCAGGTAGCATTGGTGTTTTCTCCTGTGGTGGTGTGGTGTCGTCATACTCCACCTGCAGAGTGCGTGTATCTTCGTATGTGTGTGCAACATGATGGGCAATTCTCTTATCGTATTTGTGTGGACCTTGTGGTGCAATTTTGTCCTCGTATTTGTGTGGACCTTGCGGTGTAATTCTGTCCTCGTATTTGTGTGGCCCTTGTTGTGCAATTCTGTCCTCGTATTGGTGTGGACCTTGCGATGTAATTGTGTCTTCGTATTTGTGTGGACCTTCTGGTGCAATTCTGTCCTCGTATTTGTGTGGACCTTGCGATGTAATTGTGTCTTCGTATTTGTGTGGACCTTCTGGTGCAATTCTGTCCTCGTATTTGCGTGGACCTTGCGATGTAATTGTGTCTTCGTATTTGTGTGGACCTTCTGGTGCAATTCTGTCCTCGTATTTGTGTGGAAATTGCGGTGTAATTGTGTCCTCGTATTTGTGTGGACCTTGTGGTGTAATTCTGTCCTCCCGTTTTTGTGGATCTTGTGGTTCAATTCTGTCCTCATATTTTACCTCCAATGACTTGCCGACCTCTGATTGATCTTGTCCTAAAGCATCCTGGTCAGAGGCAACATCCTTGAAATAAAGAAATACAGAAAACAAGCAAATAATTAGTGATACAAAACATGTTTATGCTTTCCTCGACCTTTACAATCAATTTCGTTTGCAAACTAGCCAGCCTTCCCTCGGTAGACTGGATAAAGGCAATTTAATAAACTTTTTGGAATTAAACTTGAGCAGAAATACTAACAGCCATGTCAAGTCCTAGTATTTGAACAATTTGCACGGTTTTTGGGGAGACTCTTTTATGCTGTTTTACTCATAAATTGTTTCAGTTTAAAATTGCTGAATTGTTTTTCTCAAAATTAATCGTTTGCTTTCGTTTGATTATGATTGCATGTAAACATGTCCTGGATGTCTTCTCATTTTCAAGGCCTAACCTTTTGTCCATTTTTTTTTCAAGCAACTTTCATTTTCCAATTGTCTTGTAAGACATAAACCTGTTCAATAATCACGTGACAATTATCATTGCACTCCTACACACATACATTTTTGGGTGTTTTTTTTATTTTCGTTCGTCCTTTATTAATATCTCCAATTTTTAATTTGTAATCAATCAGCAAAATAAACGAAGGCTCACCGTGTCGACTGATGATCGCAAGTCACGTTTGATTTGATCACTACGCTGTTCTCTTCGGTTCCTTATAAACTTGACGGACATCACGATTGCCAAGACAACCAATGTGCTTAGACAACTGACCACAGTTACTATGGCGATAAACACTCCATTTGCACCTGTAGAAAGAGCAGTGTTTTAATTGAATAACGAGCAGGCTCTTGTTTTAATTGATAATTTAAATATTCTAAAGACAAATCAAGGAATTTCTTTGCTGACACACTCAATGTCCAGGACGAGACTTAAACCGGAAACCGGATCATATTTGACCTGATATTCAGGTCCAAAGATTGCTTTGCTTATCACAATGAAACTTTTGTCAAGATTTGTTGGGCTTAAAAAATTATGAAACTGTTATTACGACCATGCAAATTATCATTTTGACTCTGATAGGTATCGGGTTAATTCTAATCCAGACCTTTAAACCTTAACAAGGAAAGGTATAACATGACTGTTTCTGACTCGGTCAGCCATTAGAATCATAAGCTGAAGGTATCCTTTTATTTTCAGTTCATCCAAATTTTGCAATAAAGCATCATAATGGCATTATTTTTCCTTAAACAAACAGTCAGTTGCCGTGACACGCGTAGCTGCTTTTATATCTCGTCCACACAACTGACAGCAACGCGAGACTAGCGAACGATGACCGTAAAAAGGGCTTGAGAAAAATTCGCAATTTTCAATGCAAACCACAACCGATCTAAACAAAGTTGTTTGAAGTAGTTAAAGACCTAATACATACATCTATCAACGTCTTTTTTTCTGAAAAAATATATAAAAGATTTCGATGCAGTTTGACGATATTATTTCACGGACAAATCGACTAAAATATTTCGTGATGAAATGTCCGGGACTGTTTTCGACAACATAGCAAAGAAAGTCTCCCAAATGTTGAGGTAATCAAAAGAAAAGAATGAACCTTCGTCTACAAAAAAAATCTCGTGAACGTGATGTCGTAAATATATTAAAAATTCTATATTCTGAAGTATTCCAACCACCTCAATTTTTTTTACAACGCAAAAGATGGTCGCCATTGTTCAAGCAACGAGAAATGGTGACCTTGTGATCCCAATGAAGATGTTCGCCCACTGATTGGTCGAACTTCAGATGGCCTGCTTAACATTCCTAAGCATTCATCGCATGCAGTTCGCGCGTGCTTTTCATTTTTATTTTGTAGGCCATCTTATGTATGCAAGCATTACAGTTTACTTGCAAATCGATGAAATCTCGCAAAAGTCTAAATTTTTAAACGGCAAAAATCCTTAAAGAAGCGCACACTATCCTCTACGTACTGAAACTTGCCATTTCTTTCGGCCTTTTTCAAGAATTGAATGAACACGTAAAACTATCGGCCCTCGCTTTTGCTGCTATAAAGGGTTTTTTTGACGCGCCGTAACAACATTTCAATTTTGTCAATAGCAATTATATTTGGTATCAAAATAAAGCACACGATTTTAACTTTTCATTATAACATCGTCATCTTGGGCGACAGTGGTACATCCGAGTAGTTCGTCGGTGTTTTTTTCTGTAGTCTCGAATGAATTCTTGTAAAATCTCGCGTAGGCATTCGGGCCACGCGTGCGTGACCCCGACACAAGAAGCTGAGGCCGAACAAGGCTCTGCGCGTGACACGGCCGCTGACTGTTCAACTCTTCCACATTTCAGATCGGGTTTCGATGTCACGATAGTCTATCAGGATAATATTTAGCAGGAAGGAAACGGTAATTTTAACTCAATACATTGTTACCCCGAGACCAATACAGAAAAGTGCAAGACAAGAAGTTTCACTATTCAGTCGTTTTGCTTTCTCTTCGACTAGTGTGTCGTAAACAAGGAAATGAGTCTTACAGTTTTCAGAAGTAAATAAGCCTGAGACAAGATCGAAAGAGATACCATCTTTCAACACCCTCCAAAAATTCTCTGGAACGATCGATAGATACAGTGTCTATATTGTTTATTTTGCAGGGAAATTGATGGGTCTCCAAAAATGCCCTGCTGCCCTGAACTGTTTCTTGCAATAATGTAGATTTTGTCATTGAATATCCACATTTTATCGAACTCACAAAAGTATCTAAGATCAAAGCTTTGTTTGATGAGCTGAGTCCTTTCAATATTAGCCTAAAACGTACAAACATATTTTATCTCAGGCAAAACGAAATAAGTGAGACTGCACAATTTACTTTTACCGTGATGCAAAAAGTGTTGCATGAAAGTCTTGCATTAACTGATCCCCTGCAAGAGCTCAAAAATACGACCCCGAAAAATGTGACGCCGATGGAACACATGAAACACCATACTTTTGGTCAATTTTCCAGGGAAAGATAGAACGACCGACCGACCGACTACCAAGAGCCGTGTAGAAGCTTCTGCCAAAGCTTAAGAAGAATTTGACCACTTTTGATGTCGAAGCCTCTAACGTACACTGGGGCTTCTTGTCAGTGGCACATGAGAAAAAAAACATCTCCCATAATGCAATTTCGGGTACATTTCTTGAAAATTTCAGAGATTTTCACTGAAACGCTATGCAACCCAAATCCACTTGAAAAGTAGTGTATTTTCCAGTTTTTGGTTTTGAGCCCAAAATATAAGATGAACAATTTTAAACTCGTTTTTCCCGACCTTGTTGTGGGCGGAGCGTCCATTTGGAAAAAGCTTTTGGTTTTGAGCCGAAATAAAGAATGAACAATAGTTTAAACTCACTTTTCCCGAACTTGTTTTGGGTGGGGCGTCCATTAGGAAAAAGATGGCGAAATGAACTCAAAAAGGAGATTCATTCATCCATTATTATTAATCATTTATCAATATAAATTTGTATTTTATTTCAGATAAAAAAAAACAGCAAAAGATTTCCTCATGAGTGTAATCACTATTTTACTATCACTTTGGATTGTTTGTTTTACTCCTGAAAACAATGACCAGCAAATATTTCGTGTGTTTATTAAATGTCTATCATGCCTCAAAAGGAAACAAAACATTTATGATTTGACATTCAAACACTCTGTCCACCCCCGATTACTACACTGGATGGGAAACAATAACACCAAGATTGCCGGTTACAGCTACAGTGTCTGTTAACACCATTTGCTCTCCACTCCCATAAAATGGGACCCCGACCCCAAAAGTGGCAAAATTCTTGAGTTTGTTTATCCTAAAGATGTAGCACTTGGGTGAGCTGTACAAATTACGAGAAAGAAAGTGATAGTAAATGAATCAATTCGCTGCGCAAAGCCCCTCCATTTTTAAATGCCATTCCCCCCCCCCCCAAAAAAAAAAACCTTTCCGAACTTGTAAAGGTATCCATTATTGATCTTAAGAGTTACAAAGATTCTACCCAAAAAGGATAAGGTCCCGATAAGCTCAATGACTATTCTGCCATTCTCCGGTCCATGACTAGCTTTTTGTAGGTCGTCTGAAACCACTGTCGGTTACAAAGAGGATAATAAACTGGCCCTCTGGGACCAGTAAAAACTAGTTTGTGTACAATACTTACCCGCACAAGACGTTATCAGCACTCTGGTGCTCAGTGACTGATCACTGCTCGTTGCAAGGCACGTTAGGTTACGTTCCCGAGTCTCGTTGCCAGGGTTTGTCACGATGTGCAAGCTGCTCACGTTGACCAGCCCAGCTCCGGTCCGTGCCTCGCTTTTTGTAGCTATCGTCTGATTCTCAAGCATCCACGAGAAGTTCCATACCCCCGGTCTGGCGTCTTGAATCCTGCACTCAAATCGCCGCGTGGTGCCGGACTGGACGCAGACGGGGCCATACTCGGGATCGTCCAGCACAGCTCCTGTGGCGGGGTCCAGCAGATGCAGCGTCGCATCTCGTCGTTTAACCGAAGAGTCGTCAAATCGGGGAGGGATCATCGAAGAGTGATACAATGAAAAATAAAACAAAACTAAACAACTCACAGTTACTCCAATAGTCTGCGAAGCAGGCTCTGGACTTTCCTTTACCTTATTGTTTTAGGATGTATTTTGTTGACTTGGTGTTGGAAGGAAGAAAAAGATTGTTATAGCATACAAAATAATTGATGACTCATTTTGAAGAAAAAAAAGAGATTGCTTTTATGAAACAATAATATATAATGATGTTTTGTAATTATTTAATGAAGCCGACCTACCCATAACATGGAGCTGCACTGTTGTTTTAAATTCGCCTAAGCCGAGGGAAATTGCCTCACACACGTAGATACCTTCTGATCTCTCCGTTACGGGATCAATGGTCAAACTGCAAATCTTGTAGGTATCATTCCCGGTGATGAGGTCGTTGAAGTTTTGATCGCCACAGCTAGTCAGCGATTGGTTGTTGAAAAACCACCTGACTAAAGGGTCTATCAGTGTGTAATCACCGTCAAGGACGCACGCGAGGGTGATGTAGGATCCCACGATAGCATATCTTGGGTTTCCTCCCTGGATCTTGAGTTCTACCGCTCCGGCTTCAAGGAAAATTTAAAAAAAAAAAAGGCATGGATTTGTAGACGGACCACCAGCTTTCCCTGTGCTTTATTATGTGGGGTACGGTTGGTCGAATGTGATGCCAACGGATTAAAACAAAAACTGGGGCGAAAAAGGCAGAAGTATTCAAGTAGACCATAACCACAACTTGATCCACTGAAATGTCTTTAGTTTATTTAATTCACAGCCTGGGTGTCGCGTGGGGGCAAGAGGGTGCTTGAGAAAATGCTAGAGAAAGTCCCCCCCCCACAAAAAAAATGATAAGTTGAGAAAATGCTAGTGAAAGTCCCCCCCCCCCAACACATTTTGGCGACGCTCGCGATTCACAGTACATGAAGTACATATTCTTACTTCATTTACATTGATTTTTTTCTTAATGAAGAATAACGGACTTACCATCTAAAGCATGCATACAAGTCAGCGCGAATATCGTTAAGATGAATAAAACTGCCATGTTGCACAAGAGCTAGGCCGTACGTGGAAATAGTTCTGTCTGTAGACCGTTAATGCCTCTAAGAATGAAACACTGACAGTGATCAGTAAATGCTGATCTTCGTGCCGCTTTGCTGTGAGTGAAGTTCCCTATAACTGAGTGCAGTTTTGCTTTCGTTTTAACTAATGATACATATAGTTTATGTTAGCACGGAACCAGCTTATTGCAAAAAAGCTATTGTTACCACTTATTGTGCTGTTTGCGTGGTGATGAGTATCGATTGTTGCTGAATTCGAAAGTATCTGTGGCAATTATCGAAATGAGAAGGCCACTGCTTTTCATTAATCAGAAACTTGTGTTGTTGAAATGCTTGAAAGTTGCCTTCGTGTAGAAACTGACGATTTTGCCCTCTGGTAATGGTTCGGGGTCCGCTCATAAGTCCGACGCCTCATAGGTCCGACGCCTCATAGGTCCGACGCCTCATAAGTCCGACGCCTCATAGGTCCGACGCCTCATAAGTCCGAAATTTCGGACTTATGAGGCGTCGGACTTATGAGGCGTCGGACCAATGAGGCGGAATAAATACATTTTATGCCTCAAAAGTCCGACGCCTCATAAGTCCGAAATTTCGGACCTATGAGGTGTCGGACCTATGAGGCGTCGGACTTATGATACGGCCCCAATGGTTCTACTATAAGAGTGTATTTTTTTTCTTTAATTAAATAAAATGCTGCCCATGCGCTGCACAGAGCTCGTTTTGCAGGTGCAGCCCACACGAAGTGACTGTGTCGTAGACTATAGCACTGCCTGGTATTGTGTATTGCACTCTGAACTTTCATTCAGCTCGTCAATGCTAATGGCAACAATGCAAACGTTATTATGGGTCACGGTGTAGGTCAAGTTGCAGTGCGCATGTGTACATATCCGTAATGATAATACATGGAGTCATACATGTATGACGAAAACTGGAAAGTCCCTGTGTAGTCCAACAGGCATGCTGTGCTGCAACAGCAAAAACCCCAACAAATCACCGCGGTTTCTTCGTCGAGATTCATCTACATGTGGGATAACTGACTCCAGAAGAAGAACAGACTCGACCAAGATATGTCTAGTTGGCTGTGAAGAGACGGGTGTCATGGTGAGTTTGGGTAATCTAACGAACAACGTTTTTATGTCCTGACTGGAATTTACATTTCAGCAATAATAATATGCATGGGGCAATGATCGTGTTTTTAGGAAACGCATGGATATGGAATGCATGGGGATTGATATTTGAGTAAGACGTGCCTCTGCCATTGGCGTCAATCCTGAGGGGAGGGGGCAGGAGGGCATGTCCCCCACTTTTTGAAGGATGGGGAAGACATTGCCCCCCTCCCCCCATATTTTTGAACTCGTGTCTCATTTGTACTAAGGTGTATCTTTCGCTAAGACAGTACTGGTGAAAGTGGTCAGAAATTGTCTCTGATCACACCACAGAGCTCGAGTTCGAATACGTTATACGCTTTTTGGGTGGTTCCATAATGCTGCAGTTATATAGATATTGTGCATTCAAGGTGCTATACCCAAACGGATTATTTTGGAAGAGAAAAATACAAATCATAGAACACAAATATGTTTCCAGATTTTAAAATCACGAATTCCAAAGTTAAGTGAGGGTTTCAGAATCTTGAAATTGGCCCGGAAAAATTAATGATGCTCTGATTAAGATTTAATGTCCTTAAATAGATCTTAAATTGACCGAACTACACTGCTTGTAAAAATATGGACTGCTCCTTTTTTAATCTGTATGCAGCAAAATTATTTTCTCAGAGCTATTTTCTTGAGAAATCATGCTGTTGCAGTGTAGAACAGTAGATATTGTCCATCCTGTATCCTGCTTCGATAGCACAATTAGTGAGCAATGGATTAATATCGTGTACTTAGTGTTGGTGTTGTCACGTTCATTATAAAAACATGTATTACGTCCAGACCTTTTCCAAAAAAAAAAAAATCTTTGCTTTTCATTTTGCCCATATTTATATGAAATGTGATACTGCATATTGGCTGGATAAGGTTGTAACAGGTTAACTTTCAAAAGAAAAATCGGGTTCTCGTAAATCATACCGCGACCAATTGATTCTTTTTTTACCCCAAACACCACACAAAAATAAACGGTGATGCAAAGCACAGTCAGGCACCACACTATTCCTCATTTGCATACGTATCCAAAACTGTTTGCTAACCAGGGTGAGAGAAGAGGTAGTGGTCAGAGCGTACTGCTCGAAAACCTGGGAACGAGGTTGTTTTTGGTTAACATGATTCGTTTATAAAGTCAGTTTTAGTATTGAAATGTAAACAAAAAAAATGTTTAACCATATGAATGAATATTTTGTTCTTAAATTGTACCCCCAGTAAATTGATGAATTTTGACATAATACGAAACGCGTTTTGCTTTTTTTTGTTCGTGACCAAAGTGAGATTTTATGTTTGTTTTCTTCAGTGAGATTGACAAATGCGTTGACATCATGGCGGTTACACACACGACAATCATTCTGTTGACAATTGGACTTTGCGAAGCAGCCTACAATATCTGTCCGGCAAACTCCAGTAAGTATTAGGCCTAGTTTTGTTAAGTAAACAAATCAAAAAAATATAATAACTGAACTTTTCTTGTCGTGGGTTTTTTTTACTCTGGGTCATACGAAAACAATTATGAGATAATTGGTGCAATTATTTGTTGAAAAAAAAACCCGGATGTTCAGTCATATGTGAATAGGTGTTTTTTTTGTTTCTACAAAGATGAAGAAAATGTTTGACTATTTAAATTAAAAAGTCCAATACAAATGTGTGTAAGTTACTTCATGAAACGTTAACCATCTTGACCACTTTTAGAAGCAATCATCAATCATGCGGTTTTGTATGAAACAGATCGCTTAAACATATTTTCTTTCCATGCTATCTTGACACTAACAAATCCAACCGGGTAATATAGCACGCAGTCATATCCCTATAGACCATGTGCCCTGTGACGTCATGCCGACCGGCAAAACATTAAAGCATATTTTGCATGTTATTTGGCCAACATTAATCAGATTACGTCAACATTAATTTTCTAAAATATTCATGTGTTAAGAGCTGTTCCTGCAATGCAGTAGAGAAATGTTTGCTGAAAGTTGGCGGCACGTTACCACAGCATCATGGGCGTCGCGAGGGGGGGGGGGGCAAGGGGCATTTGCCGCCCGCCCGCCCCCCCCCCCCCCCTTGAAAAGCAAACAAAACAAAAAAAAGGAAGAAAAAAAAGAAAAAAAAGAAAAGAAAAAAACCCTGATAAAGCGAGAATGTGTTGAGAAATACAGGCATTTCTTGGCAAAACAAACCAATTGCCCCCTCTAGAAAATATCCTGGCGACGCCCATGCACAGCATCCAATTCTGCAAACAAGTGTCACAAACAAGTGTATTATTGTTAGAAGTCTAAATACTTTTGCTAAAGATTACACTGCTTGAGCGGTTATTTCAACTTTGACACAATTTGTGTATCTATATTTAGGACCACTTCACTGGAAAAAATGCATGGTTTAAATATTAATCCGAATGGGTTGACATGTAACCCAACTGTGTGGTGAAAACTGCAACTACCCAAAAGTTGGCTGTGTTTACCATGGTATTTCAGGGTCAAGTTAACCAAAAACTTGGGTAACTAATGACCAAATTTAGTTTGAGCGACTATCGGATTTGATTAAATTCAACCCGTAGCTTGGGCTATAAAGCTTTGCTTGTCATTGTATGTACTAAGAGTTTGTGGTCAGTTTAACCCACATTTGTGGGGGAAATCAGTTACTGAATGGGGAATATTTTAACCATTTTAATATATTAGCATTGGCCTATAGGCGTAATTGACATACTGTTCAGTTATTCACGACCAAAAATGTCGAAAAAAAGTTTCAATTTATATCTAATCCAGCCAATTAGTTATCATCGAAACTTTCAACCGCTGATTTTAGCGTTTAACAAAAAAGGCCAACAAATATAGTTCTGCTTCCAATTACATGGCATTTGAAATTAGGGTAGGTATGTAGGATTTTTTTTGCTATTTTAATGGAGGCGATCATAATGGAGGCGTCTGCGTGTAGTCAAGGGTAAAAGGTAAACATTGATGGTTTTGGGTGAGGATTTTTCCTTCATTTGTTTCCCATAAAAGGTAGGTAGGTAGGGAAACCGGAAGCAGAATTTTGTTTGGCCTATTGGGTTAATCAAACTCATTTTAACCAAAAACATAATCCATTTTCTTTTACTTACAACTTGAACTATAAGTAAGTTTAACATAGTGTTCCATCCTAAACAAATTGCTGATTTAACGACTACTCATTTATTCGTGATTGCTTTAGCCCAAAATATAATTTTAAATTCCGTACCCACAGCTTTGGTTAATGTTTGACGTAGGCAGTTGTTCAGTGTCGGGTACGCAATTAACACTATGATCTGATACACCGTGCCCTCTGGAGACGTGTGTACATTAGGGAACAAAAGATTGTATACGTCTCCACTGGACAATTTCTATGAATACGTCTCCACAAGATTTTCACGAAATCAATATAATTATGGATTTTACTCAAAAACTATGAATTTCCAAAGTGGTTTGATTGGTCGCAAATGGAAGAGTTTTAGAAAAGGAATATTAAGTCCAAATTTTAGACAAGAAAATTGATTCTGGTTAAAATAAGAGCATTTTGAAACTTCACTTTCAAACTCGAAAACTTTACTACACGAGAACAAAGAAATGTCTCCACAAGGATACTAATTTCAGTATGCGTGCGGTGGTTGTGTGTGAACTGCAGGTGTCAGATCCACACCTCAGTTACAGCATTGTGCTGAAAGGTTTGACCAACAATGGCGTTGTTAAAACTAACGGTTGTTACTTGTTTCAGTTAACAGTACTCACAGTACTTTTGGTACAAGCAAGTACGTTCAACGAGGCCTATGGCACCAAGTACCTTGCCCATCCTTCCGTCCAGATGAGGCCATTAGTCGGGTCATTTGGTACAAGCAAGACAGTCCCACGACTCCTGCGCAAACGTTGATCACTCACAAACGTAACACAGACTACCCAGAGAGCGACATGTACGCGTTCGGGAAGTCTGGTTTCAGCCTCGTCATTAAAGGTGTCCAGGAGAGTGATGGGGGAAGGTATGTGTGTCAAGTCGCACCACGTGACACACTAGCTCGAGATGAAGCAATCAGCATTCAAGTTATAGGTAGGCAATATTGCTATTGTGGTGTATTGGAAAAAAAGCCTCATTTGTAGGAAGGCCCTATCTAAAGTGCCTGATTAAGATTGGACTGTATTGGATGCAGCAGAATAAAAAAAAAAGTGAATTTATGAATATAACTATTCCTATTTGCTCTTGCAATCAATATTCACTTTGTATTGAATAGTTACAATTATTCAAAAAATAGACCCCAATGGGAAATTTAATTCGTCAATGAATTATTAATCGAGGATATTATCAATTAACAGCCAATTTTTGACTTCATAACACAGGCGAAACCTTTCCAGGAGGCAGTAGTCAGGCATCTTCCACAGCTAGTTTCCAGCGAGGACGCAGGCAGACGCTACCTTGTGAGTGCGCGTCACAGACACCAGACGTAGTGTATTGGTCAACGGGAGAGGGCGTCACTATCGATACACAGATCATTGGTGCCCGTTTCTCCGATGGTGCTACCCTGCAGATCCAATATGGCGCTGATTACTGCATTGGTAGCGACGCTTCGCTTACAGTCAACTCCCTGAATGACGTTCAAGATACGCAGAGATTCTGGTGTCACGTGTTCCAGTCAAATGGTTCCCTCAGAAATTGCAACACCGGTGCCAAGATATCAGGTAATGCCAGAAGTATGTAAATCGACAGGTCGGTTTGGCAATACTTCTGCGACGAAATTAATGCAACCAAAAGATTTAAATAACACAGAAAAAGAGAATCCTTTTTTTTTCAGAACTGTTTTCCGTTGCATCCAGTTGTATGTATAAACGTGGATTTATTATATTATATCATTTGCTTGTGATTAGATATAAATATTAACCCGTGTTACATATACCCAGTTTGGTTGTTAGTTTTAGTGACTTCTTCCCAGTACTATGAGGGTCAGAAGTGAGGCTCCGTAAGCTGTTTGAGCTTGTCGGCCAAGTAGAAATAAAGGCAGTCGTTTCGTTACTCACTGAAAAAGAAACTGAATCGATTGGTCCAAGTTCTTTCTGCTAAGCTTTCTGCTAAGAAAAATGCTACAATTTTGTTGTAATCCTCTATTGTCCATGTTTAATACGTTGTACATTTTACCTTTCTTTGAAGTGGAGGCAGAGTCAACCAGTAATGCCCTGAAGGCCTCAGAAAGATATTTCTTCCTGCGAAAAGACACACAGCAGATACTCCCTTGCCTGAGCTGGACACCTGGCGACACAGCTTGTGAGGTGGAGTGGAGTAAGCTCGACAACCCAGATCGACAAGTCCTCAGTTACAACCTGTCGACTGGTGTCGTCGATTCTAGTCCTGAATTCGATCTCGTCAGTGACTTTGGTTTGGTGATTCAGTCAGTAGAGGATGACCATGCTGGAGTGTTTCGATGTGCTTTGGGAGATAAAAACAAGATAGATGTCGAAGTCCGAGTGATAGGTAGGAGTAAAGATTGATTTTGTATTATGTTAGAGACTTCAGACTTTTTTTCTCTTCAATCTGAAGGTAACTGATCTGTGGGCATGATTTTCAACCTATATTTCTTGGCTGTTTCATTGCAGGGGATCGCTTTCCATTGGACGAGGCTAACGCTACAGAAGGTGACAGTGTGACCATCAAACCTGAAAGTAGATTTTCTCTTCGATGTCCGGCCCTCTCAGACATCTCATTGACAACCAAATCAACTTTATTCTGGTCCTTTGGAGCCCCTGATGCAGAGTCTACCACTGTGATCGGCACAATGAATCTACCAGATGGTCCCATAAAGATGTCTGATCTGGGAGACAATAGCTGCCTCGGAATATCAATTGAGGGCGCTCTGCTGCTAAACAATTGCTCCCAAGATGGTGACGTCAGATACTGGTGTCATGTCTTCCCTGCGAATGGTGATCTGATCAGATCATACGTGGGTGTATTGATGGAGAGTAAGTTTATGCAATGTTTTGATCATCTACGTCGTGTTAGAACGCTTAAGCCTATTTTCTGTGACCTTACTTAAATGTTTGATGGTCACATCTTGTACCATGTTGTCCTGGTGTTGGTCTTGTTATATTTATCAGAATAATGTTGCTGTAGTTGTTTAAGGCGAAACAGTTACTGCTTTTGAAAATATACTTATAGAAATCATCTGCACTAAAAGAACGTTGATGGAAAGTGTAAATTACACGCCATGGCGTGATAATCCCTTCGAATAAACAATCACTTTTCATTTCAGGCCAACGTTTACTATTGACAAAATATGTTTGTATTCCATTCTTACAGTCTGTGTGTTAATTGTAGGTTGATTCTCCGATTCTTTGTATTAGATTCAAACGGTGCTCCTGGATTGTCCCATGTCGTCGCCATCGGTGTTTGCGTGCCTTTATGCGTCATCATTCTTCTTGGTGTCTTCAGACTGGTGGGTAAACGAGGTAAGAAAATTACAAGGTTAATAAGACAGGTCTCGGGGGAGAAAAGTAATTTGGAAACATTGGGGACTGTTGAGAGAAGTGACTACAAACCGGTGGATAAACAAGGTATGAAAACAATAGCGTTTATTAGAGAAATCTGTGGGAAACAAGTATTTAAACAATAACACACCGGAAATTTACCATGAATGTTGCAACGTTTCTCATAAGTTTGGTACCCCTGCTGAAATATTCCAATGAGCATTTTTCGATTTGTTTTTTTCATTGTTAGCTGGAAGAATTGTAGGTGAGGTACAGTTCATTGATTTACAATACTGCACGGTTAAAGTTCAAGTTCAATGAAACCTGCAGTCCAATAAATATTAATATGAAATGTTTTTGCCTTTTACAGAGCCTGTTTTAAAGAAACTTGCCAAGAAGATAAAATCATTTGTGATCATCAAATTTGAGAGAATTCCCATTACACCGTGGGTTGACGCGGGAGATGTTTGCTTCGCATCAATAGATTCAGTCTACAAGCCCTTGGAGATGTTCGTCAATGTCTCTCACGGAGGAAGCACTGTAAAGTATAAATTACACTCGGAGTCTGGTATCTTTGATGATGGTATTCCAGAATTGGCCAGTAAGCATGCTATAATACAAGGTAGACGGGGTTGTGGTAAGACTACGTTTTTGCACAGACTGATATACGACTGGGCCATCGGAAGGGAACGTGCACTATGGGGTAGAGATCAGATAGTTGTTCTTATCCCAGCTTGGTTGCTTATTAAATCTAAAACCATCGGCGAAGTAGTCGTTGAATGCATGATTCCAAAAGACGCAAACATTTCGGCCGAATCCATTAATGCACACTACGCACGAGACAAACGCAACCTGACAATTTTGGTTGATGACTGTAATGGCAAGGACGACATTGACGCTGTCATTGAATTTATGACGGTCAATGGATTTCTTGGCTGTCATTTAATTGTTACCACTAGAAACTCTAAGTTTGCAAAAGCTGCGTCACGAAAACATAACATGCGCATTGTCACCATTAGTGGTTTTTCGTTCATAACTGCTATCGAATACATTAACGTAGTATTGGATACTGCTGAAGACAACAAGAAAAGTACCCCTGAGCACACGGCAGTCAAGAGTAAAGCTAAGCCAACATCGGATTCAATTCCTCTAGAAACAAAAGCCAGCACTTCCACTGCTGGATATCCAGAGATAGAGACCCCCAAAACAGCTACAACGAAACAGAAACGAAACATTCATCGATATATAGAGGAGCACATTCTTCAACCGGATATTTCGTGTCTCCCAGCCGTCTTGGCAGCTCTCTGTCAGCTGTCAATCTGGACAAAAGGAGATGCTTTCAAACCCGACGTTACTATGTCATATTTATTCCGCACATTGGTCAAATGCAGGGTCAACAAGAAAGGAAGTCTAGAGGAAGGTGTCACTGAGGGAAACCAACTCAGGGATCCCATGAAAGACAAACTGAAGGTAATTACAGAGCTTGGTAGAGTTGCCCATTCAAGACTGATTGACAGTTATGAAGATAATGCAGACTTCTCGACAGAGGACTTCTTGAATGCGTCAGGAAATGAAGACCATATCTTGGATGATGCAATACAACTTGGACTGCTACGTCCGTTGCTCAGTGAGTCCCAGGTTGAATCTGCGGAACAAAGTATTGAGGTATCTAAAGTAAAGAATAGGAGAGCATATCTTTGTTGTAAACGGAAGGAGGAAAGAGGAACCAAACCAGATCCTATGAGGGAGGATATAGAGCTCGCTCTCCTGACAAGTCCTAGGAATAAAAGGGTTTATTTTGTTTTGGAGATTCTTGAGGAGCTTTGCGTTGCTCAGTTCTTTGCTGAGACCACGGAAAGGGTTGAACAATGGGTTGATGGCATCACAGAGATTGGTCACACAGATATTCTCCAGAGGCTTTCAAATGTATTCCAGTTTGCTATCCAAGCTAAAAAGTTTGACAGAGAAGCTCTTGTCAACTACTTCGCAAAGATCATTGTCAAAGAATACCGTCAAGCCCGACTCCTCCATGAATTGCTACAAATGCAGAATTTCGTAGAGTTGTGTCTCCAGCTGAATTTCGAGGGGCAGTGTGAGGGCGCCTTGAACAAGAAGCTGAAATCGGTCTTTCCTGACGGGAGGGTCCGCTTAATTGGGATATCGAGTTACAAATTGCGTCTGTTGTCGTACCTACTCGAACATGCTCAGCCAGACGATAGGAGCAAGCTGAATGTGAAGTCTATTGAATTATTGCGAATTGGTCAACATGACTGGTCTGAGCTCAATGAATATATTGAGCACTTTGTCCACGGGCAAAAGGTTCCTGAGTTGAAGACAGAGCATACAAAAACTGAAGAGAGTCAGCCATCGACAACTGAAATCTACAAGGGAACAGTCCCATCATCACAGGAGGACATCGAGGAACTCCGACAGATTCCCCCACCTATTAGAAGTCATCCATCTGAATCTGAACACAATAATCCGATACAGAAGGAGGTCCAATCTACAAAATCCGAGCTTCAACCAGGTAGGGAAAACAAATGTGACGAGGTATCGCTTTCAACCCAATCAGAGTCCGATGTCGGCGACTCATCAAGTGAGGCTTGTGGTAATGAGGACGAATCTATAAGCAAGCCTAGAAATGTTGATATTGAATCGTGTGATATCATTGACATTGAAAATGAACAGGCTGTTCTCAAAAAGCTGCGTGAAAGAATAAAATCCAGCAACCAAGACATGCCTCGGTTTCCTCCTGACGAGTCAGACATCAGTGTTCTTCATACTGTGCAGTCTTTTGGTCTACAGGAGCTCTTAGAGTCACAGGCAGGGGAGTGCTACTCATCGGGTGCAGCAAGAGACCTGGCTCGCTACCTTCCTCGTCTGGAAATGCTTGAGAGTCTGGTTCTGGTTGGGACGATTCTGAGTTCTGAGGCTATTTCCGACTTGGCAAGAAATGCTGACCAACTCCCAAACTTGAAAAAGCTGGATCTCCGACTGAATAAACAGTTTGACGACAGAGCCTTTGTGGCGGTAACAAGCTTACTGCTGCGTAAGTGCAACAATTTGACGGATCTGAGACTGTCTCTGTGCAGAGTACAAGATAAAGGGTTTGATGAAGTTCAGAGGGAAATGGAGAAGGATGGCGCGGTGTTGTGGGGAAGATTAAAGACACTGTATCTGCTGCATGGATCACCCGCTGAGAAGTTTGCAGGATTCCTGAGCCATAGTTTAAAGTACTTTCATTTTGTTGAATGTCTCCATGTCTCAGCCACTTATAAAAGTGAAGAAATACGGGACGAAATTCAGGGGGAGTTCGAACAAAATATGAAAAATCAGAAAATCATGACGAATCTGGAAGACCTAGACATCGGCAACATGGAGACATTGAAGGCGAGACTGGCGCCCTTGGATCTCCCTAAGAAGAGAAAGGGATCTGGACTCTTGCCAACGTTTGGGACAGCCGTAATAGACATGGGGAAAAGGACAGCAATCGGCTTGTGGAATCGGAACAGAAAACAGACGGTAAGCGAGAGCGAAAAGTCGGCAGCAGACACGATGTCTGGTCCAACACGTGCTGTTTCAGTAGATGCGATGTCGGATCTACGAATGTAATTCCCGATCTTTAGGTAATAATTGCTATACAGGCCGAGTAAAGCAACCGCTTCCCAAGTGGCAGGACCAATTTTTCAATAAGGTGTTCCATGCCACTTTGACAATCTAGGATAAGATTAGTACAGGGATCATTTCAATGTCTCATATACTTTTCAACTCACGACATTTTGAACACAAACACCCGTCATGCCTTATGGTGCCTTACTCTGTAAACTGTCATCTCTCTACAATATCACTGAGGACCTGTGGATCCGGTCTTTTATTCGTGAACGCCAACAGCGGGTCGTGTACCGTGGATACTACTCAGTCTGGTCAACAGCATCGTCTGGAGTGCCACAAGGAAGTGTTCTCGGACCCCTGCTGTTTAACATGTTCATCAATGACTTGCCGTCTTGCCTAAAATCATCGTGTGTACTGTTTGCCGATGACACTTTAATTTACCCGTCAACACTTCTGATCAGGAACTTTTACAAGTGGACATGGACATTATGTCTCAGTGGTGTGTAGAGAATAGGATGAGATTGAATCTGGTTAAGAACAAAGGGGTTAGATTTACCGGTAAACGAAATCCAATTCAACAAACATATAAATTGAATTCCGGATCTCTTGAAATTGTTAAAGAAGTAAGTATCTATCTATGTTAAACAGCCAACTCACTTGGTCTAGTCATATCCGTTATATTACATCCCGTGCCAACAAGATGCTAGGCTTATTATCTTGTATGTCCAGGGGCTTTCTCTACGCGTGCTCTCCTTTGCTTGTACAAGCCGCTGGTTTTGACACATTAAAGGTTATGACGTCAGTTTATACATCTCGTCTCTAGAACTCAACGTTTACACTGCTCTCCCATTCATGCATTTCCTAGACTCTGGGATGAATTGCCTAAACAGTTTCGTATTGATTTTGTGATAACTTCGCTGAATTCTTGGTTAAGAAGCCTGAAAGATTTTGTTTGCTCCTCTGAGTGAATTGTAATCATCTTCCTCGCTCCAGTCTTTTTAATGTGCTTTTGATATAATGCAGTTTTTATAGATATATATATATATTTCCTACCTTCATTGTACATTTGTGTGCATGTTTGTGTGTTTTAATTCATTGTTTGTTTCCATCATCATGTCTTTATGTAAGGACTTTTCTCAACTCTAGCCGGTTTTCTCTTTTTGTAAAGGGTTTGGTTTTTACTTCTAAATTCAGTGTTGTTTTCTTTTATTCTGACACTTGTTTTTCTGTCATCATCCTTCCGCATTCTTTTGATCATGGTAATTTTTTTTGGTCATCTTTCCCCGCTTAAGTCACCTCAGATATTTTTTGATGTTTTAATTCATTCATTGTTTTGTATCTTTGCCTTTTTAATCATCCGTCCCCGTTTTGGTCATTTTTTTGAGTTTTTTTTATCTTGGTAATCTCCCTCACTTTTGTTTGAAACATTTTAGTGCATGTTTATATATGTATATATAATGCACTTGCTTTTTTATGTATTGATATGCTTTTTTATATAGCTTTTTATTTATTATCTATTATAGCTTGTTTATCGGTGCAGCAGGTCCTCCAACCACAGTACTTTTGCTGTTCCTTGCTTTCTTTATAATGTTGCGAGAATGGCTAAATAAAATAATAATTATAATTCATTCCACGAATCACAAAAAAGTACGTGTTCTTTGAACAAAACGAAAACAATTCACGTGCATCCCTATTCAAAAAAGACTGATGGTACAATCGGCATAAACAACCTTAACATTCTTAACTCTTGGATATTTTAAGGAGCATGTAAAAGATAAGTTTGAAGGAGTTACGATGCCATAGTAGCTAGCCTAGAAACTGTGCAAATATAATTATAGTTTGCTGCTTAATTATCATAATATCAGAAAAAAAATGAGATCAGTTGTATTTTACTTCAAGTGTATTTTTGTATTGTTTGGCATTGTAATTCTGCCGAATGGTGTCTTGGCAGATAACATGCTTTAAAAATATAGGCGTTTTACGTTATGCGTTACAGTTGATTTCCCGGGCTGTACTTCGACGTTTCACCCCATGTATGTTTTCTTCATAACTATTTGTTTTATCAAACACTAAACAAACTGAATCGAATATCCAATGGACACCTATCCCCCTCCCTTCACATTATGGAATAAAAACTTAAGCATTGCAGACCAGCAGGGATTTTCTTGTGTTTAGGTATTTCAATATTGATTTATATTGTAAATGCAACATTGTTAAGTAATCTATTTTCCATTAAACTAATGTTTATTACCCGCAGTAGCTGTATATCCACCATCATGACGTTATATTGAAGTTAAGGTCATTTCTGAAAAAAAAATCTGAAAAAGTGTATACTGTGTAACATTACTTTGCAGAAGGCAATTATGAGAGAAAATTACTTTTTATCGCTAAAGTAGTAGACTTTAATGACACAGAAGTAAGTAGGTGCCAACGTTCCCAAGTGCTTTGCCGAAGTACTAAAGTGCTAAAGTCCAATGTATATGTCTGGAAAAAGGAATAAGGGAAAAAAATGAAGTCTAGAATAACGTGAGGAAAATGCATGTAACAAAATTAGACAATGCCATTATGACACTTAATTAAATTATGAATATATGGTGATATTATTTAGATGAAAGCTTGTTAAGTGAAGTGTAATTTCTGCTTGTGTTTTTTGTAGTTTAATATTAAAAAAAACAATAGCCCACCAAGTTAGCTAGTTAATAAGTTGTGCCTGTCCGTCCGTCCGTGATTATCTCTTTCCTCTAACACGTAATTGTTTCAATTATGTCCTATTTCCACACCAAGCCGGTAGACATTTTCCCCCAACCTAGAACACCCCCCCCCCCGCGCATTTTTGGCCTTTGGGAAAACATGGGTCCCTGTAATGTGTTCCATGAACATGAAATCAAATCCGATAGCTTGATTGCATTCAGCAGCCAACATGAAGGTGTGTTTTCTTCTGTTAATTCATTAACAGTAAATGTACGGTCATACAGGTGTGTATTTGGCTGCAATCGGGGACCCCCTATTGTCCCTCTTTTGTTTGTACTTTTTAGGAAGACCTCCCATATGTTTTGTACACAAATCCAAATTGGGGACTTCTCGGGAATTGGGGACCTTATTGTCCTCTATTGTTCAACCTCCCCTATTGAATACAGAAACAAATTCATGTGTATTCCTGTACAATAAACGTACACACTTCCAAGATGGCTGTAGTGCAAACGATCTATGTGAACTATAAAAGCACCGTGTAGAATCATTTCCACTTGGTTTGCACTAAAATATAAAGCCCGAGACTCAGGTTTGAAAAATCCCATAAGACTCCGGGAAATTCAGTTATGCTATTTTGTTTGTATATAACCCACAGATCAGGGAAAATCCACAAGCTCTGGGATAACCCACAGATCTGGGAAACCCACACTTCTGGGAAAACCCACAGCTCTGGAAAATCCACAGCTCTGGGAAAACCCACAGCTCTGGGAAAACCCACAGCTCTAGACCTCTGTAAGCGCGCCCTCATTGTTTATTTTATTATCTGGGGTGGGGAGAGAAAGGAAAATGTTGCTAGAAGGGCTGAATATTACATTGCAGGTATTACCGATTTATGCAAATTGGGTATATTTCCATCACTTGGATTTTTTAGGACTATATGTTATGATAGGGACTTTATATAAATGCGCTGAGGTGAACACATTCTGTTGCACTTTGGTTTGCGGCTCATTTTCTAAAATTAAGTAGTTTGCGTGGACTATTCAGTTGAGCTTTCGTGTATGAACTTAAATTGGTTGGTGGAAAGTGGGAAGGAAGTTGTGCGCACAGGACAGACAACGGGTCTAAGAGGAATTATCGTATGCACACGGTGGCACGTCATTGTTTATACAGTGCCATTACATGCTTCCGTGTAATGTACTGGTGGGCATTCTCCATGTAAAATATTCAGAGCTCAAGCGTACAGACAAATGAAGCTACTACAGCTGGTTCCCGATCACTTCAATCAAAAGTAGGGTGGGGACCAGCCTCAGCCACTCCCGACGTTACAAAAAAATAATACAATACAACCGTCAAAAATAATACGGAAAATAAATGAATTTACATAAAATCTAATTTCTTGCAATTATGATATTTTTATACAAAAATGTGTGTGGAATAAAAAAACAAAAAACATTCGAATTCAAATACAAAATAAATTGTTCTACGAGATTAAATGGAGATTAAATGGAGATTCATTGTTCCCCTATTTCGGGCCACGTTGGCACCCCTGTGGTCAACACTAGGTGAGTAAAACTTGTTAGTAGACTAATTGGATTCCTCCTATGGGGGATGGGTATGGGTCTACAAGGGAGTGGTGCACTAAAACAATGATTACCATTACTAATGTATTGCAACCTTTCCTAAAACAAACGAAGACGCCATCGACTCCCGGAAATAACAATGTACGTTATATTAAATGACTTGAAACAATCTAAATATGATGAAAGTGGTCCTAGAATACACTGGCAGTGTTTCAAAAGAAAAGAAAAAAAGAAAAGAAAATGCAACCATATGAAGAGCTTTAATCTAAGTGGGGTGAGGCCTTTTTTATGATAATTGTCTCCTCGTTGTATTAATTCGCGGTTAATTATTAAATACTGGATAGACCTTTGGACTTAAATTCACGAAATAATATTTTGAAGTAGAATATAATAATGTATCGTTAACCCTGACTTCATGCATCAGGAAAATACTGGTCAGATTGATGCTATTTGCATTGGAGATATGTACAGCTCAGCATACATGTCCCAACAATGGCGGTGAGGTTTTCAACATAATGTGCATTTGTGCATGCATGGTGCTGGTGTAGCTTGGAGCAGTATTAATATTAACATACGGTGCGCATTTCAGTATCGCAGTGGCCATGTAACAGATTTATTTAAATGCATCACCGCAAATTGTTGTGTTCCGTTTAACTTAATTTTCAACCTTTCTATTGTGATTTTCAATGGTGTTATTGTGCTTTTTTTGTTTGCTCATATTCGTGACAAAATAATTGTGACATCATTCAAGGCAGAAACTCCAGTGCTACGGCTGATTCCTCGTCAAAATTTGCTAAAATTCGGCATTTTTTTGCTGTCAGTGATACATTTTCAGTTTTGGATAATTCTTGATGTTATGACAGTAGGCGAATGAGCAAACATTATTATGCACAGAAAGTTTTGAATTAGATTTTTTTTCTAGCTGCACTTTGAACAGCAACTGTCAAACTGAAATATTGTGCATTAAATGACATCACAACATTTTAAACGTTTGAAAAGTGTCTTTAAAAACTTTTACCAAATAAGGGCATCTCATAATTTCCGTACAGTTTATAGGATTTGATATTTTCAAAACATATGTTCCTATGTAAATGTCATGTCTTGAAGTGTCTTCCAAACTTTCTGTTTAATACAAAAAAAAAAAAATCAAGAGTGACATGATTGTTTTGAGGAGTGAGTTTGTTTTTGCATTCAAAAGGGAACTTTGAACAATAGAGGACCATAGGGTCCCCAATTCAAGAAGGGTCCCCAATTAGGCGATGAATACAAAACATGCGGGAGATCTTCCTAAAAAGTACAGACAAAAGAGGGACAAAAGGAGGTCCCCGATTGCAGGCAAATACACACTCGTATGCATGGGGGTCGGGGTCTTTGGGAATAAATGCACAAATCGTATTGCATGGGGATGGTTTTTTCGACACTGAAAGCATTGAACACACGTGTGTGATTTTTATTTTCTTAGATCAATTAAGGCTCTCATATTGAAAGGGTGTTTGCATTTTCAAAAATTCACATCTGTTGCTCATCGGTGGATTCACCAAGCATTTTGTTTTTGGTATCTATGCATGCAATTTCATGGAATCTTTCCCCGCATTGCCATAAACCTATAAAATAAAAAAAATAAAACAATAAAAATGCACTCTAAAGAAGCTCGGGTGGGATTTGAACCAGAAAAAGGATTCAAACGTATGTGATTTATGTATAGTCATAATGACACTTCTGGGTCAAAATGACACTGTTATACCACTGACACAGAAGATGATCAAGACAAGCATTATGTTCACCCCAAAAAGTTTCCCTACAGGCCAAAGAGAATCTAAATATCATTCCGTTTCAAAATGTGACACGTACTTTTTAGATGGAGTCTTAAGGCCAAAAAAAAATGTTTAGCGCCCTCACCCGCTACCTTTTTGGAGGCTGCCTCTTTTTTTAGCATGAAAAAAAATTATGCATTTGCAACCGTGGCCTCACTCTTGCCTCTTTGTCTGTTGCATCTAGCCCATATAAAGCTGGTATGTCATTCCTGAGTCTAAGTGGCGGCCATTAGGACAAAGTTGGCGGCCATCTTGAAAAATATCCCGGTCAGGCAGCCATTTTGAAAGGGAAAAAAAGTAAAAAAAAGGGCCTCCTCCTTCCTTTTTTTTTCAAAAAGAAGGACGCAAAACATGTTTTTTTTTTCCTTGGCCTGAATTCTTAGTTTCGTTTGGGTCATTGTGTCATTGTGTCAATGGGTTGTATGTTGTAATCGGAGTACGCTAACAATATACACTTACAGGGGGCCCCTTAAAAGGCAAATTAAAAGGTCGATTGTAGTTACCAGCGACCAGACAGGCGCGTTTTTATGTTAATCCGTTAACAACATCGTAAATCATATCCCTGTTCTATAAAAAAACAGACCTCAGAAATATCGCTGCAGTGCAATCGACCTATGTAAATTGTAATCCATCACGGGGCAGGTGCTGTGAATGCAAGGAGAATGCGTTCGCCATTAAAGGGGCCCTCTTTTCGTGTACACTGATTCAGCGTTGTGCAGTGTGGTGTCATGCATTTCAATATTTAAGAGGTTGTGGAATGCTGAACGTCCTTTTGTTTTAACAATTGAGGCAATAATGGCCATCTATCGCTCTTATACTTTCAAACACGATCTAACTATGGGTTGTGTGATTTTCGAGAATTAAAGGTGGCCCTAACTGTTTATCATGTACAACCGATAGTTTTTTGTTAATCTGTTGACTATTTTCAACAACAACGTTCGGTATGTTTTGTACATTAAAACCGGGAGCCAAGGATGATGTTCGGTGCAGCCGAATGTTCGGTATAGCGGTGTTCGGTATATCAGCGTTTCACTGTAGTGAAAAATGGCAACTTTGTTTTTCCGAGAGTGACAGAGATGAACAATTCCTTTTCATAACATTTTTGTGAGTAAATTGAACAGGGAAATGCTGACCTCCTCGTGGCTATTCCATACTAAGTTTGAGTTGAAACTGCCCGAAGAAGAGACCAGCGAAAACAAAGATACTGCAACTGATTCAGCTGCAAACACTGGTCCGTTAAAAATCAAACTGTTTTATCCAAGGACTTGCAATAGGCCTATCATACATTTGTTGTAAAAATTTTCAGATGAGCATAACAAATCCTACTACAATTGTCTTCATGATTTGCGGACAATCCTCAAGTTATTCTAGTGAATAACTAGTCAAAAGAGACGACACATCGTTGGTCCATATTCCAATACGCGTACGACACGTATCACGGCAGTGGATATGGTCGATGGGCCGTGTCCCAGAAGTAATGTTGTACGGTTAGCAGTGTCACAAGCTCCGGTCAACTCCCTCACGTTGCCTGGTGCTTTTTACATATACGTGCACCACACAAAAAGTAGTCATTTTATGTTTTCTTTCCTTCTTAATTGGAACCATTTTTAATTTTCACAACGTGAATAATTTGAGCTTGAAATTGTTTACTTTATTGTTAACCAAAACAAGCTGCAAACTAGGCCCTGCATGAGACCACTCGTACATGTACCGTTTACGCGTAAACGTCGTTACATATCCAAGTTCCGGGTACAATACCAAAATCAAAATCCCGGTTGCAAACCATTCACTTACAAGTAACAGTCCCAAAACATAACGAGCACTATATGTTCAGTACCTACATACGTGTTTATCCAGGAACTTCCAGTGGCATACAATCTGTCATCATATCCAAAGAAATTCGAGGGGAAAATGAAGCCTACTCGAACGTGTACTGTAGAAATTTGAGTTTCGATTGTTCGGGAATATGAACGGAGCATAGCCAAGTTTAAATGGGTCTACGTTTCTCCAAGATTGGCCATAGATGAGTGGTTCCAAAACAGTCTTAACTATAATCAGTATCGCAGTTATTTCTTGTCGAATTAAATTCTAAAGGCTTTGAACAAAGACAAACGTGAACTTTGAAGCCATACAAAACAGTTCTCCAACGTGCACTTTGCACTTTGGTTTGTGGTCCCGTCCGCAACCCCTTCTGTGGATATGGATCCACGCCCGGGCCGGGCGCGGGCTACTCAGATAATTTTGTTTTCCCAAACAACCCCGCCTTTCATGGTTGTTGAGCGCCCTCTACGATACTTGTGTCATACGTACGCAGGCATATATTACCATGAATTCCTGGATTTATCGAGCAGTTCGTTAACTCAGTTGATAGGGTTGTGAATTTATAACGCGACGGATCCTAGCGGTATGGGTTCGAATCATCATTTTTACCCGATTTTTTCTTTCTTTTCTTATCTGAGGCATTTGGAGATTTTTTTTTCTGAGAGTAATAAAGTCAGAATTTGATTACATTGAAATTAATGTCTTTGTTTTTTATTCTATATTTTTTTATCATTTTTGTTAGAGAAGTAAAGTCTAAAATGTCATGGCGTTCACCCCCATGCGGATGTCGTTTGGGGAAACAAATTGCTCGGGCTGGGCCGGAGACAGCTCATCACACTGCCGCTCAGTGGCGTGTCCAGAGAGGGTGACAGAGGGGGCACTCTGCCCTCTCCCCTGGCGGGTTTTTGTCACAACATTGTTGTTCAGCAATTATTTCAATAAATGGTTGTGACATTCCAAATTCCAAAAAAAGAAAACCCACTAAAAAATCATTACAATGCGGCGTGAAAATGGGTATGTAATTTGCAGTATGCATAATAATGGTCATTTTTTGAAGAGCGCCCCAATTTAAAAGGTGGGAACCCCCCCCCCTACCCCCCACCCCCACCCCCCCCCCCCCCCCACCCCCCGTGTACGCTACTGCGGTCGCTTAAATTTACTGTCGCGACAGGCGTCAGTACGGTACCGCCGTTGTTTTTCTGTACAGGCGAGTAGCAATTCTAAATTCTCTTTTGAGCAAAGAAGACCGTATATAAATAGTCTTCCCGTATAAAATGTAAAGGCTGTGCAATGAGCGCATCATTTATATCAGCGATCTATCCGTTTGGCGGAAATTCAAAGAAAAACATAAATTTAATCTCGGCGCTCAGTGTTCTTAGTGGTGTGGTTGCAGCCTTGGCCTAGCCTTGTTTGATGCGCTCGCTACCCGTACACATATTAAATATAAATATTTTTAAATTCCAAAACTTTTACGAGCGTCACAATTTCGTCCCCGAATTTCCAGCTTCATAGTTAAATTGTTCAGGGTGCACAACAAATAGCGTGCGTGAATGATCAATGATGTTCATGTGAAAGACGTTTCTTTTACTATGGTTGGTGGTTGGGGCAAACACAAACGAACAATCCACAAACTATAATTACAAACATTGTGTAACTATCAAAACACTGAATAATTAACAGAAACTACCAAAAAGTCAATGCGATTTTTTTTGGGGGGGGGGGGGGGGGTGGGGGGGAAAGCTGTTGCCAGCTACGGTTGAATGTATGCAGCACGTGGCTTCCCATACAAAATATCGCTTAATTGAGACCTATTGTAAACAAAAACCTCTAAATGCGTGGAGTGATTTGCCAAAAAAAATCGCAAGAACGCTACATTGCAAGTCCTGCTTATGACGTCATTATTTTTTAACTGTGATTTGTTTGCTGCCCCCAACGATTTTTACACAAATTGCACTTTTGGGCCTAGACATGACATAAGAAACAGCTCTCAAAATACCTTTTGTATTCATTTCATGAAAGAAACAACAGTCTGTTTTATGTAATCATATCTTAAGCTACATATAACCACAACATGGACATGTCCAGCGAACCACAACCTCTTTAAGCTGCATGCGTTTTTCCCCTTTTCTTTGCATCCATCTTAGGTCGATGAAAGAAAGTAAATGTTCTAACTACTTATGGTTTTTCACACTGGAATTCTCCCTATGTAAGCAACATTTCCTAATAGCTTATTAATATTGTCTGCTCGCTGGCATTTTAGTACAAGGCGGTAGAAAGACCTTTCTTTATTTTAGTGACTTCGTAATTAATAATTCTCTGCCTCTTTCCTCCTGTCTATCTATTTTCTATAGCCCTTAACCCATTTCCCCCGTATGTTTGGTTGATTGATTGTATTGCTTTAAATTTTCAAAATCAAACAAATAATTGAGCTCTCTAAAGACGCTATCTGTTGTCTATACAAAGGACATTTTTGTTTTCTTTTTTATGTTGCTATTTTCTACAGCAATACAAAAATTATGCATTTGTTAACAATAAATAGACCAAACACAGAAGGCATTCTATAACATTAAAATATGGCCTCAAGTATCTAACATGATACTGATCTTCTAATTGAATGTTGATTGTTTTTACTTTTTTCGGTTTTTTTTTGGGGGGGGGTAGGGTGGTGGCTCTTGACCTAGATTGGTCTGGAGCCTGCTTACTTGGCTTGGCTTGCATTGGATTTATTATTTTTTAAATTTAGGTGAAAACGTTGAACTTGCCTTTGGCTTGTCCAACACCCAAGCCTACTTGCAGCAAGGCTTTTGGCACCGAATTCCCTGCCCAACGTTCCGTTCTGGAGAGAAAACAGACGGCGTCATTTGGTACCGGGGAAGCAGTATAGACGACCCATCAAAGGTCCGTCTGCTCAGCCGCTCCTCGACCGGAGACTTTCCAGCCAGTGAGAGATATGCCTTCTTGTCTGGTTTCAGCCTCCTCATTAAAGGTGTCGAAGAAGCTGACCAAGGGAGTTATCTGTGCCAAGTGATACCGCAAGAGACTGGATTCAGGGTTCGGAGAATATATCTACACGTCATAGGTAAGACCACTGCACGTACTTCTGATATGCAACGTGCTAAGTGTTAGTCAGTTGCATGGCGCTGTTGTCAACTTTACGGAATCCAGTGGAGGACACATCGCGTGCACACAATGGCTCGCGTGCGCAAATCATTTGCCAAATGGAGCGCAGAGCACGCCGATTAATGTTGCATTTACAAACCTTTATTAGTGTCTGTGAGCTTGGCATGGCAAGACGGACGCTACTGAGCGCGGGTGACGGTTAAGTAATGGCGATACATTGTCTTTCAATACCGGCTTCTTTCGTCTATGTCACCGTTGAGGGGGTACGTTGTAGCGCACAACTACCACAGGTTGGTTTGGCTGGTCAAGCAAGCTGATTTCTAACCGTGTTCATGTTTAAAACTAGATTTTGCGAAAAGTCGCATGTGATAAAACTAGTATTTAAAATCTTTTTCAAGGTAAAATGTTCCCGGCGAGTCCAAATGACACGTCATCTGCTCAAAGTCTACAGCGAGGAACAAGGCAAACGCTACCCTGCCCATGCACATCACAGACACCAGACGTAGTGTATTGGTCAACGGGAGAGGGCGTCACTACAGATACACAGATCATTGCTGCGCGTTTCCCTAAAGGTGTTACCATACAGATCCAATATGGCGCCGATTACAGCATTGGTAGCGACGCTTCACTTACAGTCAACTCCCTGACTGACGTACAAGATACACAGAGATTCTGGTGTCACGTGTTCCAACAAGACGGTTCGCCCCAGAATTGCTTTACCGACGGCTCTCTCTCGGGTAATTCTTACTTTTGCTTGTTTTGTTTTACTATAAAGAAATAGTGTACCCAAATTGAAATCGATCCTATCACAATTCAAATCACCAGTCACTGCAGGTCAGAAAAACAACAGGGTGAATTGACTGCGATCATTCAATACATTAGTTTCATATTCATGAAGGTCGTGTTTTTTTTTTTCATCGTAGACGAGCAGCAGCCTACTGATGATCCTTTGAAGGCCTCAGAAGGATTGTTCTACCCGGCGAAAGACACTCAGCAGATACTCCCTTGCCTGAGCTGGACACCGGGCGACACAGTTTGTGAGGTGGAGTGGAGTAAAGTCGACAACCCAGGTCGACAGGTCCTCAGTTACAGCCTGTCGACTGATGTCGTCGATTCTAGTCCTGAATTCGATCTCGCCAGTGACTTTGGTTTGGTGATTCAGTCAGTTGGTGATGACCATGCTGGGGTGTATCGTTGCGCTGTTGGAAATTATTCTTATAAAGATGTCGAGGTCCGAGTTATAGGTACAATACTCTGAGGAGATTTTTTATTATTTAAGTTGGGACTATCACAGTTGCAGTTCTTATAGACCGATTCATATGCCCTTCACTCCCCACGTAGATAACAACACGTGCTCCTCAATTCACAAAGGAACTTAATCACGGCTGTGATTGGTCAAAACATATAGTGCGGGGCTTAGTTGATCCTAAGAATGACAAAGGCATTACTATGCTGTTGTCCATCAACTGTTACTTGCATCCGGAGTCGTGAAGGACTGGTGACGGGCTCGACATTTAACACCGACTTGAGAAGAGTCTGTTGCTCGAGTAAATAAAGACGTTTTCCTAAGCTTATGAAAAACAATTGCAGATACGCTTCTTACATCTTGCAAAAAGAATTATAATACTTGCATTTGACAAATTATCACAATCTCTTCCGCAATTATGTTTTTCATTGTTCAGGAAACTATTTCCTACTGGATGGAGGCATCGCTGTTGAGGGTAGAACATGTACCTTACAACCTGGTAAAAATTTAACACTTCAGTGTCCTTCCGCCTCGTCTATCTCCATGACGAGCAAGGCACATTTATATTGGTCCTTTGCCGCCCCTGATGCACGGATCACCACTGTGATCGGCACGCTGAATCTACCGGATGGTTCAATGGAGATGTCTGATTTGAGAGACAACGACTGCTTCCAGATAACCTTAGAAGGTTCCCTTCTCTTGAACAACTGCTCTCAAGATGGTGACGTCAGATTCTGGTGTCACATATTCCCAGAGAAGGCATATTTGCTAAGGTCATTCGTGGACGTAGAACTTGAGACTTTAAACGGTAACTACATACTGCATCGTTAGGAATAAGTTGTAAGTCCTCGCATGTCAATCACCTGCCAATCGCAAGTCACTCAATCGCAACTCGAGTCATAGGATTTCCAAATAAAATAGCGTGAGGGAAATCCCTTAAGGACATGTCATAGTTAATTCTATGTTATATTGTTCTTGCGACCTTGCGATAAACTTGTGATTTCACATGTGATGGACTCATGAATTCCTTTGTAATGGACTCAATCCACTTAAAATCTTCTCCCTTTTCGCAAAATATTCATCTGTACTCTTAAAATATCGCTAGTCTCAAAAGTTCTTTTTTACTATGCTCCCCTCTTTGTGCCTATTACTGACTGACTGACCGACCAAACCACAAGTACTTTTGGGGTACTCATACAAAGGGAAATTTAAGGGACAATGTTACCCAACTATACTCACCTCAGAAAACGGTACCCCAGAAGTTAAATTGTAAAGAAGAGTAATAAGAGGACAGCATCACAGTAATCAAGAACTCCCATCTGCTGGGAAGTCCGAATGACCGACCACATTTCACTCGTTATCGTCAGGGATTACCACGTAACACCAACAATTTGGATAAATCTGACCCTTGTGCTCGCACATACAAATGAACAAATTTCCTATTGTAAATTCCCACTCCGAAGCAATGAAATGGACTTGTGCTCTGAGACAACCTTTGCTAAGTTTCTTTGTCTTTTTCTGGTATATTTTTTTTTACTCCAGACCCAGTTGAACCTTGTGTCATATGGATTACCAAGGTAACATTCGTGATCGTTGTGGTGTTTAGCATGGCATCAATACTGATTGTCATTGGAGTGTGTTATCGAAGAGACAGGCGACGAAGGGAAAGTGCACACGGCAGATACGACATTGCACAGGTACTCTTCTTTGACTTTGGTAGTCTTCGTTCAAAACTGGATTTGACTGATCTTAGGGGAGTACGTACTAGGGAGGCTGTATTATAGGGATGGGAATGCAAATCCAGTCTTGAACAAGGTTTTCCAAACTTCGCTTTTGTTTCCGACTTCCGCTCAATATCTGGCAGTGTGGATGGCTCCGTACCAAGTGGAAGTGTTGAAAAACTGTCACCTCATAGTCTAAGATTTAATGCGGAAGAGGAATCTACGCATTGTGCTATGTTTCAAATGTAAGGCGCCCTTAAAATACCATGGAGCGAAGCTTAGGTTTTGAAACCCACTGCCACCAGTATGTAATACATTGTTTATTTTAATTCAATTGATTTTCTTCAGGGAGACGACAATCAATCACCGTCGACGATTCTGAGGTAAACATTTGACAATTCGACCCATGGACTTATTTTGCATCGTCGGTTGGATAATTATGACTATGGTCTCATAAAGGAAACACATAATATTATGTGTGCATGGCCTCGAATAAGGGGGGGGGTACAGTTGATCTATTAATGAGGGACGTCATTTTGAAGGTGAAAAAAACATGACCATGATTAGCAGGTTTTTGTAGATGTACCTTTGCATAATGGTACAGTTAAACATTCCAAGTTCATCAACAATCGTACTTCTGAGGTTAAAGAGATTAGTTTCAACATCTCCAATAAACGAGAGATTTCCCATAAACTATGCACACATGCCTTCACTTTCCTCGTGAACCCTTATTGACCTGTATGGCATTAGGCCTACTAAAATAAACAAGTAACACGTGCAATTGGTATAGGACGCTGTACTCCGGAAAAATAATTTCCTGTATGAAAGGGAAATAGGGAAGCGCAGATTCTAAAGACAGATGACATTAGGACAGTCAAGACTCCTGGCAGGTTCACACTTCATGCGAATGCGAGTTTGAAGCGAAATTGACGCCAGGAAACAATACTGACCGACTGCTTCAAAGTATCAAACTTGGCATATTTGTATTGCTTTAGAGCAGATATATTACACGAAGGACCAACGATATTCTTCTGGGAAGGGTGCATAATTTGCATAATTTACATAGGGATAAAAAGAAAGCTATCCGCAAGTATAGTGCCTCGGGATATTCGGTCTCGGTTTTGATATTTTTAGATAAAAGGGCTGTATATTTTTTCTATATTTTGACTTGCCAAACCTCTTGCCCAAGTTAATTATGTTAATTTACAGAGTAATGTCACGGTCACGTAAAGGGTAATTTCTGCCTAACGGTGGAAGTCCACTTAATGAAGAATAAATGTCTCTGACAATTGAAGGGAAAAACAATCAGAAATGAGTACGAATTGAAGGCAATATTTACTGTCAAGATGTCTTCCAATGATTTATTCAATCTTAATCTTATTTGAGTAAATTGAAGACGATTAGTGAGAGAAATTAATAAATTAAAAGTTGTAAGGAGTAAACAGCGTACAAAAGTACAGGAACAGTAGACAACCCCTGAAGAGTGGTCAAGGTATAATGGCACTGAACCCCGATCACAATGAATTGCTCTATGCCCGTAAGCACTTATTCAACTTGTGATGATGAACTTCAATATTTCACATCAGCTTAATATGAAAGTGAGGTAACATTACATAATGCTTTCAATATTTGCCAATGATTTCAGTAAATCTCAATGGTCTAGTAACATGCATCTCAAATGATTAAGGTATGGTATATACTATTGTTTAATGGGCTATATGTAATGAGTAGCATGTACTCTGAGCTTAATTATGAGTAGAATCTCAATTATGAGCTTATTATGAATTGTTGTTGGCTCTTGAGCCTAAGCCTAATCTCAATCATGAACTTAATTGAAATTTTGAGCTCTGAGCCTGAGCACTGTGCAAACGTGCTCTCTCCATGTATAGAATCAACCTGCGTAAACAATACACAGACCGAATACTTAAATAGTCGTCGAGACCACACATGAAACAGCCGTATGCTTCACGTGAAATTCACGCGATAAAATCTTCACTTAAAAGTTTACAAACAGCTTCCCGGGAACGGTACACAGAAAACTTGTCCAAAATGACAGATTCTGATTTTGGTTTGAGCCTACACTCGGTCCACATGTTCTATGAACCTGCATTAATTCAAAACATGGTTAACTCAAAATTAGGTATTTTGGTGAATGAAATGTGCAAAATATGTTAGATTTGCAGAGAAAGTGGATCTTACTTCTTTTACGAAGGGAACTCCAGCAAGAGAGGGGACGGTTTCGTGCAGTGTGCCGAAGCACGTCACATCAGATAACAGAACTGGGCCTAAATATCCGGCATAATATAACAATTTACGAACATTGTTTGGCTATTATTATGACAGGAATATTCAAATGTAATGACCATGATTTTACAGAAATGTTAGTCATGTTTGATAAAACATAATGGGCCTATTTCACCCAAGCGTATGCACGGCATGGTCGTAGTGATGTGGTTACATGCACAGTGTTGCACACGGCACGCTGAAAACAATAAACAACAAACTTGTCTCAAGGCGGAGTGAAGTCTTGTTTCGAGTCGGATCGCCACAGGAATATCTAGTAAACACAATAGTTAATTAGAAGGTACAATCAGCTGAAAACAAATAATTTAAAAAAATAGTGCTTAAAATAAAAGTGTAACTTTATAAGGACATGCGCAAATGAACCATCGATATACAATTTTGCTTATTTAATAATAATATCATTTAATATTTACATACGTACCGGTATAACCTAATTACATAAAATGAGGTATTTAAACATATTAATACACGGATCCATATGAATAAATAGCTTATTTTCTTTCTTTTTTTAGAATAGTTCACTCAGTTGAACTCTGTCCTTGCCAATTGTTGAATTTCCTCTTACCATTTTTTTCATTTTAAAACGTATACAAAACAATTATAAATATACAATATCCATTAATTTATACATTTTACGGGGTTTCTGTCCGTCTTTTGAATTCTTATGCTCCAACCATCCTTTTTATTTGTGTATTTGTTGTTTGATCTACATTTTCCGTTTCGTCTTCTTATCGCTATGGGCTCCGTGCACAGGTAATTTTCAAAGGCCAGAACAGGACCGTTGGGGAGACCTAGACTGGTTCCCAGTCCATCCACTGCGTATTTCGAATGATCCAAAGTTAAGGGGCCAGTCATATCATATGCGCTCTCATAGAAGACCTTACGTCGACAGTCTGACCGGGCAACCTCGTCTCCCAGTGCTTATACTTTACTTCAAACCTCGTTTCCAATAGTAAACCCTGGATAGGAAACTTTCTTCCTGCATCCTGATTCGATACCGCAATTTGCTAATAATCGAGATATATCGTGTAGTTGGTGTTGTTATTTCCAACGTGCATGTACGTGTTTTCACGATCCTTGTAATTATAATGTCCTCGCCGTCTCAACAATACTCCTTTTCTTTCCATTTTGCTCATATTAATATGAAATGTGATACTGCATGTTGGTGGGCCACATTGTAACATTTTAAGTTATTCATAACATTTTGCGTCGGGGTGATGTAAATAAAATTATGTTTTACCTAATTATGAATAGTTAATGTGGTACCCGCTGCTATACGTACATCATATTCGAACCAGCCAACCGATCTCGGTGGTCGAGTGGTAAGACTTCTGCACTAGAAAGAAGGAGGTCGTGGGTTCGAGTCCCAACACAATGATTTTTTTTCCAACTTTCACTCAGGAGGTAACACACTGAGTACACAGTGTTTATACGTTGGTGAAGGGCAAAAACCTAATTTCATTAACATTTTAAGTTTAAAAAATAAATCGTGTTTTCATAAATCACGGCGCGAAGCTGATTTTACCCAGGCGCCAGACTATTCCTCATTCGAATACGTGTTCAAAAATCTTGCACATGCAAATGATCCAATACCAGGGTGAGACAGCAGTTAGTGGTAGGCGCGTACTGCTCGATACCTTAGAGACGAGGTTGCTGACAGAGCCTTTAGCTTTGTACAAGAGCCGAATTGACTTTTTGCCGTTTGCGAGTTAGCCACGCCCCTTAGATAACCCTATGAATTTTGTGTACACTAATTTCTGTTTGTCTCAGATGTTGCACGTTCCGCGTCCATTTGTTTTTCAATGT